GGTCCTGGAATTTTGCCAAGTGGTCGAGGAAGAGGATGAAGGTACCATCTGAGTGGTTTCTCAAGACCGTTTCCCGGCTATAGGAGCCACCCTGCGGGTGACAAAGTAGCAGACGTGAGACCCTGGACTCTTGGAGGTTCACGGGGGGACTCCAATTTGACTGAAAACCAAAAATGTTACCATAGCCTTAGAATTGAGTGGCAGGCATCCCTGTGTCCACAAAAAATGGGAGATGCTCATAGGATCGCTTTCCTTATTGTCCTCAGAACTGGAGGCCACTACTCAATGGCCATTTGCAATAAGTGGACAAATGTGGGGCTGGTGAAGTAGCTCAGTGGTGGAGCATTTGCTTAGCACAATTGAGCCAGGGTTACAGCCTCAGTACCACATTAAAAAAAAAAAAAGACAAACACAGTGTATTTACACAGTGGAATACTATACAATAATGAAAATGATAAACAGCTGTGGGTAATAATACATATTTCTTTTTTTWWAAATATTTTAGACATTGATAGACCTTTATTTTATTCATTTATTTATATATGGTGCTGAGAATCGAACCCAGTGCCTCACACATGCTAGGCAAATGCTCTACCACTGAGCCACCACCCCAGCCCGATAATACATATTTCATAGGTGTGATAGGTCAAAGAAACCACACACTAAGGCACACTTAGTGCATGGCATCATTTGTAAAGGGTGACCAAGTAGTCCTGGATAAATCCCTAGTTTGAAAGTCCCATATCCCAGGAAAAATCTCAAGTTTGGGCAATCTGGGATGGATGGTCACCTTACATTTATATGAAGTTAAAAAAACACACAAAACTGGCTGGGTGCTGTGGCTGGTGCACCTGTGATCCCAGCAGCTCAGGAGGCTGAGGCAGGAGGATCTCAAGTTCAAAGCCAGCCTCGGCAAAAGTGAGGTGCTAAGCAACTCAGTGAGACCCTGTCTCTAAATAAAATACGAAGTAGGGCTGGGGATGGGGCTCAGTGGTCGAGTGTCCCTGAGTTGAAACTCTGGTGCCAAAAAACCAAACCAACCAAACAAACAAACCAAGCTGCTGGAAGTCCGGAGCGTGTCTACCTGGGGTTGGGGTCCTGACTGGGTGGAGACCCAGGCTCCTGGGGGCTGGGGACACTTTGAGGGTCTGGCAGCCTGTCCAGCTGAGCACTTGGGTCTAGGCACTCCTCTTTATTAGGAAGTGGCGTGCTGGGGGAGGTCCCCAGGCCAGTAGGGAGCATTCCCTCCAGAGGGCTTGAGGGCCCAGTCTCTCTCTTGCTTCCCATTTTGAGCTCTGGTCCTTCTGTTCACATCTGCTCTGGCCATGATTATTGGCCAGAGCCTACGCCATGCCCTCTGGACCTTAAACATTCCAAACTGGGAGATAACCTCTTTTCTTTAGAAAGTTAGCCAGCCTAGGTGGGTGCGGTGGCTCACGCCTATAATCCCAGAGGCTGGGGAGGCTGAGGTAGGAGGATCGCAAGTTCGAGGCCAGCCTAGCAACTTATGGAGGCTCTAAGCAACTACAAGGTCCTGTCTCTAAATAAATAAATAGGGCTGGGGATGTGGCTCAGTGGTTAAGCAACCCTGGGTTCAATCCCTGGTTACCGACCTCAACCTCCTCCCCACCAAGAAAAGAAAGCCAGCCTCAGATATTACAGAAGGAAACACTGACCCATACAGTGGTGTTGGGGATTAGGACCCCCCTTCCCCAAGGGTCCTGAACTTTCCTAGTGCTCCCTCCGCCCCACAGGCCCAGGACCCTCGGCCCCAGTCCTGGTGCCCACCATTCTAAACATTTCTAAAGGATGAGAACCACCCTTCCTGCCCCTTGCTGATGAGAACCTCAGAGCAGCCCCGCGYAGATTCATTAAGACCCTCCAGCCTCAGTAGCTTCCTCTGTACAATGGGCCCACGGAACCAGCGACAAATCAGTTGTTCATTGATTTATGAACCGGTGGCGGGGCAGCCCTCTGCGGAGGACATCGGACGTTCAAGCCTGAAGACACCCTAAAGTGGGTACCACTCCCCCGCCCCCCGACCGGCCCAGAGAGGGTGCGCAGCTTGCCCAATGCCACAGCGGGGTAGGGGCAGAGGCAGCCGCGAGGCCCGCGCCTCTCTCCACCTCCAGCCACCCCGGCCGGGGCCACGCTCACCAAGGCCACGCTCTGCACCACGGGGAAGGGCTGGATTTCCTTCAGGGCGGCGCAGATGGTCTCCACCGTCCCCTCGATCTGCTTCCGACAGGGTTCGTAGGGCTTCAGGTGGCTCTGGACAAACTCGCCCAGCTGCGGGGCGGGCACCGAGGACACCTGCGACTCCCAGTTGCCCATGGCGCCCTGCTGACCGCGGCCCTGCGCTCTGCGCCCTGCGCCCCGCGCACCGCTTTGCGCCGGGGAAAAGGAAAGCGAAGCCCGCGCAGCTCCGCCCCCGCGGCCGTCTGAGGACCGAAACTCAGCCGAGCCTGTCSGGCCGCCTCTGCGCGGGAACCAGCCGCCAGCTAAGCGCAGCTCGCGGGGCCACGCGGGGGCTCCCGGGCGCCAGGTGCGTCCTGGGGCTCACGACCCGCCCTCCCTGGTCCTCAGGGTCCCCACCTGCAGAAAGTGGCACTTTTGTCAGGGGTCAAGGGGAGCGTTAAATGATCCCTGTCACGTGCTCAGAGCAGGAGGGACCAAGCGAGTGTGGGGAGACCGAGAAACGCAACTTCTGCCCACAGAACTGGGAAATCGAAACTCAGAGGGTTTGCCCCGCTGCCTCTGCCCAGCAGTGATTCACCCACGAGGCAAAAGTCCCCAAGGCTCAAGGGGATCATCCCCTGCTGGGATGGTTGATCTTATGCACCAACTTGGCCAAGCCCAGTTGCCCAGATATTTGGTCAAACTTACTCCAGATCTTTTTGTGGATGTATTTTAAAGATGAGGCTAACATTAAACCAGTGGACTTTGAGTTAGGAGACCACCCACCAAATGGGGTGGGCCTCACTCAATCAGTCCAAGGCCTTAATAGAAGGAAAGATGGAGCTTCCCTAGGGAAGAGGGGGTTCTGCCCCCGGCTCTGGAAGGTGTGYCTGGCCAGCATCCAGGGCCAACCCAAGAGGGGGAACCTGGGGTCCTGAGTTCCAGGCTTGGATTCCCAGCCAGCCAGCCACCCAAGCCAGGCCCAGAGGACTGACCAACACCCACCCACGGAGCTCAGCACCTGGGGTGGGGAGGGGCTGTGCAGGTGGCCCAGACAGTGGGGCTGTCCCCAGCCCTCAGCTGTGAGGGTCCTGGGGCTGAGTGGACGGCCCCTGGTCCTGTGTCCTTGGCGGACATCTTAAGCAGAGGCCCTGGACAGCCGGGTGCCTAACATCCCGGGCAGAGAGGGCGCWGGGGCCTCCTTCCTCTGTCCCCTGGGGTGGGCCCCTCCTCCATCTGATTCACAGGTGGTGACTGTGGGGGACCCCGGGCTGGACATTTTACATTATTTAAAGGCAAAAACCACATCTGGATTGCCGTAGCTGCGAGTGACAGGAGCTGGCCCGGGCAGTCAGAGAGACTGTGCAGTGAGGACGTCAGTGWCCCCCAGGGGACTGCCMGGGTTGGCCCAGCAGCAAGCCAGCAGAAGGGAAGTGGGTCAAGAGGACCCTAGTTCAGCACGAGTAGAGAATGGCCACTGACGCCTGGACCATCAATCTCTGAAGAGGTTCGTGGCCCAAGAAAAACAGAGAACAAGAGAACCACTCCCACTGCGTACGAGCTGCCCTTCTGCGGGGCCAAGGACCTGTGCCAGGCACCCGTTACTAGGCACAGGGCGGGGCCTTCCCACGGGAGAAGCACTTCGCAGGCGACAYGGAGCCTCAGGGTGAGATGGAGTCTGAGTGGTCACTGCCGGGCAGCCTGGCCGTCACAGGAGAGACGCTCAGAAGGCAGAGGCCGGGCAGGGCCCGGGGACGCCTCCGTACCCCAGGTGTGCACTCTGGGGCCGAGACAGAAAAGAGCCCCCTGGAGCCCTCTGTCCTCTGCATCAGGCAGATGTGACCAGTGGTTAGGGGACCCGCTTCAGAAGACTCCCCAAGTCTGAATTCAAATCAAAAGAGAGCTTTAGTTACCTGCCAGGGGCTGTCACCCACCGCAGAGATCAAGCTCTGTGGGAGGACAGCCRCTTCCTGGTCCCTCCAAGGAGGACATGAGGACAAAAGCCACAACTCAGTGACTTGCTGGTCGTCGTGTGAGCCAGCCAATCATAAAACATTGACCAGGGGKACCTGTGGGCTCCAAGTGACAAACGGAAGCTAACAAGCATTAGCTCTGCCGCTCCGGGGCCACAGCCCCAGGTTCAGCAGGTGCTGGACAGTCGCATCCTGAATTGGGCGGGGGTCGGCAGGCCAGAGTCGACCTCAAAGTCGTGTAGACCCACGGGGGCACTCACACCCAGGACACAGCTCCCCAGACCACCGCTGCACCCTGAGTAGGGGACAATTTGTGGGGTACAAAGTCCAGAAAGACAATTTTTTAAATAAGAAAACAGCTTTTATTTCAGTTTCTCAGAAACGGCTCTTGCAACAGTGTTTTATAGGAGGCACAAATGGAGTCCCAGGCCCGCCCGGGACAGTCCTGCTTTATAATGGTCTCGTCTCACTTATCAAAATCTCATWTCTATAATCTGTATTTGTACTAGTCTATAACCTGTGACTCACACTCTTACTGATCCTATCGATCAGTTCACACYGCGACACAATCAACCCCAGCGATGCCTCTTTCCCTGTGCACGGGTTCCGAGGCAGGGGGCTGCCCGGGAAGGAGCAGGAGGGCCGGGGGCAGGCGAGGGGGAGATGGTCTGCAGAGCCACTGGGGCTGGGGTCCACTCCTGCCRTCCAGCGCAGCCACTGACCTCCTGGACTTCACACAGCAGCCTGGGGGAGAGCGTGGCAGGAGACGCTGGTCCCCGGGGACTGCAGGACGGAGCCCTGGTGCCCGGCTGGGGCAGGAGCAGCCCCCTGGTCCCCCCAGGCTCTCACCCTCACTGGCCACGGCCGGATGGCAGTGCCGTCCCTGTCCATGCAGCACAGTGCAGACATGCAGTCCTCGGCTTCCTTGGCCAGCAAGTCCCAGCGGGCACTATGGCCCAGGTTTCCCGTCGGGTCAGCCGGGTCCAGGATGATGGGTCTGCAATTCCATCCAGGGTCAGTGTGACTCCTAGCACATCTAGGGCTGCCCCTGTGGCTTTGGCTGGACTGTCCTCTCCCCGTATCTGACACTGCAGGTGCTGGACAGGGCTCAGGGGCTCCTCTGCCTGGTGGCCCCTTGACCATGCTGCATCCAGGCAGACGTACTGATCCCCCTCGGCTCCGTGCTCCCCCAGGGCGCACGGGCCTTGATGCCCACTCCAGCCTGGCCGCCTCTCTCCCTCCCGCATCCTGGGCGGATCAGGCTCCTCTCTCTACTAAGGCAGATGACATCATGAGAGTCTTTAAAATGTYCCCCTGTATGGCCACTGCCCAACGACTAGACATGTGTCACAAGCTTGGGGACATCTCTTCTATCTCTGTGCCCATTTCAGAGAACGAGACGCCTCATGCTCCCTGGTGGCTCTGCAGCGAGCGCTGCCCGCGACGCGCTTCTGACAAACAAGGGACACAGTGTCCCTGGCCTAGGTCTCTCCCGCTCGCCYGGAGCGCGCTGATGCTAAAGGGCACTCGCTGCGTAGCTGAGATTGAACTTGGGGTCTTGCTCTCTCTGCTCTGTGCCCTGGGGGTGGGGGGAGCCCCAGCCAGAGTCTGGGGACCGGGCTGGCCTGGACCTGGGCTTCTGAAGCTGCTGTCTCAGGAAGTCCCCGATGGTCTCGTCCTCAGCGCTGTAGTTGATGGTCCAGTAGACGCAGAGCTGGCGGTACTGCGTGATGAGCTCCAGGACCGTGCGGAAGCCCTCGGCCATCCCGAACTGGGGGTCCCGGCCGCCCTGCTCCCAGGCGTACACGGTCAGGAGCTCCAGCCCGTGCTGGGGGGGCAGGGAGCCCTTCCCCTTGGGCATCTTGTGGCCCTGGGGAACGAGGAGAGTGGCGATGGTGGGGTCGGAAGGGCCATGCCCCCCCCAGCACCTACACACCCATCAGATCCCAGGACGCAGCCGTCAGCCCTGATAATGCTGTGTAGCCTCCTGGATCCAGCTATGCCTGAAGCTGCCTAATYCAGGGCTTTCTARTTACATCAGTCAGAGGGGAAAACCGAGGCCCTCCAGGGCACCCTGTTCCTCCAACCCAAGGGCCTGGGACTGTGCTAGGGGCTGTGGTGGGGGCCAGTCCCTGGGCCGCACCTGGACCTGCCGGTACCAGTACTTCACCAGCCGGATCAGGCTTTTGAGCTTGGTGGGGCGGGAGACGATGAAGTCGCGCTGCAGCTCCGTGAAGCAGGTGGAGAACTCGCCGGCGCAGTGGTAGCTGCGGATGAGGTCCCTGTAGACCTGTGCGTGGGGGGGCCTGGAGCCCGCTCCCAGCTGGCCTGGACAACGGGGAGGCCATGTGGTGCCATTGCCCAGAGTCTCCCAGCCACAACCCAGATAGATGTCCGTGACCCCCCGGAGTGGCTGTCCCTGGGGTGGCCTGGGATGCCCTGAAGGCACTGRGGGCTCCGTGGGGGCAGAGATTGGTGGCAGGTCCTGGACCTGAAGCCTCTGGGGACAGCAGCACTGCAGGGGCAGGGGCGGAGGTCCCCCTGTGGTCTGTGGCACTCAGGGGCACTGCTGAGCACCAAGCTTGCCCTTTGGAACAGGACAGCGCGGGGACATTTCCACAGGAACCTTCCCCCCTTCTTCTCCCAAACTCAGGCACCAAGTGAACTTAGATTTCGGGGGTTTTCTCACTCTGCAAAGTGCATGTTGGTGGCACTTCTGGGGCCAGGATCCTGTGGCTTGAGGCCACTGCTATCACACAGAGCATTTTTGAGGGAATTAGAAAAAAAGTGCCCTTTTCTCCAGACTCTCTCCAGGAAAGGTGTGACAGACCTTCACAMGGACAATGTGTGTGATGTGAGCCCATGTAGCCCGGATGGGCAGTGCACAACCTCTACAACTGTGCCTGTCTGCTCCTGTCTTTCCCCTTCTCAGGCCTACACCYGGGAGCCTCACCTAGCGCATCAAAGGCTGGCAGCACGTCAAAGTCCACACTGTGGTCCAGCATCGTCTGGGATGTCAAGGAGAAGCTCAGCACCCGGGGGTTCTCCCACTTAGAGATTTCAAACTTGACTTCAAACTGCTGCTCCTGCTGACAGGCCTCCAGCTGGGCCCGGATCTCGGAGATGATCTCCGCCCGCTTGTTCCCCTGCTCAGTGAACTGGGAGAAGCAGCTGAGGAACACCACGATGTCGGCGTCCGAGCGGCCTCGTAGAGCCGTGCCTTTGGCTGAAGAGCCACCCTGGGGAGGACAGGGGAGAGGTCAACCCCACAAGCACCGCTTGAGGCCCTGCACTTAAGGCTCTGGATTCTGAGTTAGGAACCTGCTGTGTGACCTTGGGCGAGTGTCCTAACCTTAGTTAGGACACTTAGTCTCACATCTTTCAATAGAGCAGGATCAGAAGAAAACACAGTGTGCTAGAAGTGAGTTAATCCCCTCAACAAATGCAAAGCTTCTCTTTCCTTCATGGTTTGGGGCTGGGGTGGATTTGAAAGTTTTTCTCTGTTTTTGCTCGGGCCTGTGGCTCTCAAACTTGACTGTTTCTGAGAAGCTTTTAAGAACAGCCAACAGCTGAGTCCCATCCTAATTTGAGCTGGGATGGCACTTGGGCATCATGTGATTCTAGGGTGAAGCCAGGGTTGAAACCAGGCAGCGAATCCATCCTCCTCGACTCTTATGAACGAGGAAGGGAGAATCAGAGAGACCACAGTATTTGCCTGGGTCACACAGCACGCCAGCAGGCCTGGACCCTCCGTTTTGACACTGTATTGAGATGACCGGGTCTCCACTGGGCCTGTCCAGTTGTAAACTGAGGCTGTGTGAAGTGCAGAGGACGAGGTGATCTTTCATGCACACCTGTATCCTTCCCACTTGGGGTCAGCATCCTGGTTATGTCTGTGGGAACTGCCCACACCCAGGTCCCGAAATCCAGGTGGGGCCACCTGCCGTGTGACCCAGGGTTGACTAGTTCCATTCTGTCTCCCCAAGCCAGGCACAGGAGACTCCATTCCAAGTCTTAACTTGAATTTTGAGGAAAAAAAATCCCCCTTCTGAAAAGTAGAGCCATTTTTGTAGATTTGAATGGAAATCGGACTATTGATTGTCACTCTGTTGTCAATAAATTTGTGCTTTTGCTTTAAAACAGTGAAACAAAAACAAAGCAGACCCAAGAGCTGCAGAGAAAAGCTGAGTCATGATAATGCTATGTAGGCTCCTGGATCTAGCTATGCCTGAAGCTGCCTAATCCAGGGCTTTCTAGTTAACATCAGTCAGTGCTTTCCTTTGTGTCCTTTGTTGAGCTGAGTGTCACTAGCAACTGCAAGAGATGTAGGCTTATCTGGACTCTGCCTCCACCATCCACCSATACCACGTTCTGGCTCCTTCTATATGCCTGACCTTGTGCAGCAGGCACAGAGAGGGGTCAGACCCAATACTGGCCTGGGAGAGAWCAGCCACCGGCAGGACCCGTCTTGCCTGCTGCTCTCCAGGGACTCACCTTGACCACCTTGAGCACTTTGATGGGAGAATTCCGGAAGCAGTTTTCCCTCAGGAACGAGCAGATGGTGTTGACGGCCTTGTTCACCTGAGCCAGGAAGTGGCGGTTGGGCTGGAGAAACCGGCTGATGAACTTGTCCAGGTCCCTGGCTGGGGTCTGGTGGAGGAGAGCTGGCTGCGGAGAGAACGGGTGGGGTGGGTGAGCCAGGCMGGCAGCTCTCGTGCTTCCTGTCTCAGGATGCCATCTCCTCTTCCCACAGGGTCTCCTGTGTCTGTGATGCCATCACATGGATCCCCAGCAGAGCCCAGCTGATGCTGGCACCATGACCTTGAATTTCCTAAAAATGGCAGCTAAACACACCTCTTTTCTTTATAAAGTTTTCTGGCTTCAGGTATTTTGTTACAGCAATGAAAACTAGATTAACAATATCCTTTCATAAGGTGCAGATGGCTTACTTCTTAGGTTGGTTTCCCTAGAAACAGCCTGATCAGGGGATTCTTGGGCACGTGATTAATTGGGGCCATGCTCACAGGGAACAAGGGTAGCACAGTGCCTGATCCCACAGGGAGCTTGGGAGCGTGACCCACATCACAAGAGTTGGTCCCGCCTTGAGACAAAGGTAGGGTCTTTGTACGTTGTGTCTCTCAGGCACTGGATGAGATGGGACAACCTGTGCTGCTCTTGGAGGTCCATTCTCCAGAACAGGGGACAGTGCTAACCACCTCAGCCAACACTCCAAGCTGGGGATGCCACAMTGGCAGGTAAAGGGCACCAGGCAGGGGAGCCAACAATGTCCCCTCCCCAGGGCCTGCCTCTTACCAGCACATCCCAGGGTGGCACAGGGGCTCTGTCCCCACTCATACAGCAGGCCTGGGTCTCAAGGGCCGCTGCATTCTGGGCCAACAGCTCCCAGCTGCCTTGGCCCACATTCCAGGTGGGGTCAGCAGGATCCAGGATTAGAGGCCTGGGGACAGAGTGGGGGGGCAGGTGGTTGGGAATGTGGAGGGTCTGGGAAGAGGCGTGAAGGTTGGGGACAGTGCCAGRACCCCAGGGTTTGCCCAGTATTGCCCACATTCAGAAGGAGCCCCAGCTGGCTKCTGGCTACTCGGTGGCCCCTCACTTTGAGATATGGCCACCTACTRTGCTATAAAACTGGCTCTGGTTTTCTCCTGTGTGCACACTTCCCCATCAAAGTCCAGAGGTAAGCAAGATGACTGGTGACCCCAAGCCTGCCCTGGAGCCTTCCTCGACACAGACGCCAGGAGACAGTGGGCATAGAGCACAGGGTGGAGGCAGGCACCGGGGAGCTGCTGTGCACCTSGGTTTCCGAAGCTGGCCAAGAAGGTGTGTTCTCAGGGCTGGGTCCTCAGTGCCATAGTTGTCCGTCCAGTAGACACAAAGGTCCTGGTACTGCTGGACCAGCCCCAGAACAGTCCGCAGGCCTTGGGCCATGTTGAAACTGTGGTTCTTACAGCCCTGCTCCCAGGCAAAGATGGTCAGGAGCTCCAGGGCATAGGCTGGGGGCAGAGAGGGGCCTGGCTGCTCTTGATTTTGAGCTGCCACCTGTCATGGAASGTCAACCCAAGATCAGTGCCTGCGGGGTGGGAATGGGCACGGGCCTCCAGAGGATGCTCAAGAGTTGGGGCAGCGTGCAGAAGATGACTGACAGGCAGAAGGGTGCGGGCAGAGGCCTTGGGGTGGGAAAGCATCAGGAGTGTGAGGAGTGGGGAGAAACCCACGSGCCACACAGGGACGGGGAACCCCAGCTACGAAAACGAATGCCTTCATGGAGGAAAGACACAGTGACTTCCGGATCTGGGCAGGAAAGGGAGGAGCCGAAGGCGGTTCTTCCGCTTGGGATGGCCAATGGGATGCAAAGGAGAGGAAATGTCTGTGCAGGGAAGGAGCTGATTGGCCCAGACAGTTGTCATGACAGCACCGCTTCCGGGGGAGGGCCGAGGGGCACTCACGTGATGGTACCAGTGTTTCACCAGTAGGATGAGGTTCTTGAGCTTGGCRGGTCGCGTGTTCACGAAGTTCCTACGCAGCTCTGCGAAGCAGGCCGCGTGCTGGCCGTCGTGGCCGCCGCTGTTGAACAGGGCCGTGTACACCTGGGGCTGAGGTTTGCTGTCGGCTCCGAGCTGCCCTGTGGAAGTGGGACTGCTCATTGTGCAGCTGGGAATGAAGCTAGCGGCGCGCACCATGCATCCACCATTAGTGCAATGGATGACGCTCATTAATGCAATTAATTTCAACGTTAATTATGTGACATTGCAATCAATCATAATATATTGCAATATTGGATAACAGAACTATCATTAAATTTTTTTTTGTAGGTGGACAAAACCTTTATTTAATTTTTATGTGGTGTTAAGGAGCAAACCCAGCGGCTCACACGGGCTAGGCAAGCGCTCTACCACTGAGGCCTCCCCCCACACACCCCTTTTTTTTTTWAGTATCAACCCTGAACTGGGTAGTCCAATAATTTTCACATAGAAGTTAAGGGAATGAGCTTCCAAAATGGATAATCCTGGGTTTAAATCCAAGCTGTGTGATTTGCRTCTTTGGGCTCATAAGCAGCATCCTCCTTATAAGGTTATTATAAGAAGCAATGTAAAATGAAATCCACATGTAAATTGCTCCAAACTGCTTTAAAAACACCGAGTGTTCAATAAGCATTAATTACTGCTATTATTCATGTTGTCATCTCCCAGGAGAGGGTAAAAAAATCAAGGAAGGGAGAGGAAACTGGAATTGAGGCCAGCCTCTCCTTCATTCTGGAATGAAAGAAAGCCTGACCTTTCTCCCTGAAAGGTGTCTCAGAAGAATCGCCCACCAATAGAGAGAGGCCCCTGGACACAGGGGAAGAAAAGTCCCCTAGGAGAAACTGAGACCCCAATCCAATGCTGGATGCAGTTGTGAAATCCAAATTTACGGCCTGGTGAGGAAGTCCTAGGCTGTGGAGTCACCYCCTAAGCTGGCCTGGGAATGAGTGAGGCCCTTGGAGCCCAGCTGGAGACAAAATGAGAACTCTGTCCCTTGAGGGATAGTTCTTCAGCCCACAGAGAAGGACCTTCCAGAGGAAAAGAAAAGAAAATAAAAGTTCCATATAATAAAGTTCCTCATAATAAAAAATTACAAACCACACAAGGAAATGATCCAGCCAGGGGTGGGGTGGGAGAGGGGGAGGGTATGGAGACACAACTGATGGGAGAATTTGTGATTACAGGACAATCCGAGAGACGGAGCATGTTTAAGGTGATCCAAGAAGATAAGAGTCARTGAGACCCCAATGAAAGAAATGAAGTCGAAGGGCAGACAACAGGTTGATTTGAGAAAGAGACAAATAGAAACTTCTAGAAATGAAAAAGTTCTTATTTAAAAAAAATCAAGATTAGGTAGATGATTAGATGCATTTGAAAAGAGTAAAATGGAAAACAGATCTGAGCAATGAGAAGCAGGCAGCGTGATGGGGGCATTAGAGATAGAGTCGGGGACGTCATCAAGAGAAAGCAGATAACAGGGAACATGGGCAGAGGCAATATTGCAAAGGACCCTGGGAGACATTTCCCCAAAACTAAAGGAAGGGTTGAGTTCCTGGACACAGGAGGCACCACTGATTCCAGACAGAATATGGAGCAGTCCATGCACAGACGGATCAGGGAGACACTGAAGAACACTGTGGACCAAGAAAGTCTCAAAGTCTCCCAAAAGTGGRAGAGGGGGTGTGTCGGGGGAAGACCAAGCAAAAAGCCACATATACAAATAAAAATAGATTACATACAAAGAAATGACTGATAAAGGGACAGCAGACTTCTCTTCAGAAAGGAGAGAGGTTATAGGACAGTAGACCCTGAGGGAAAACACCCATCAGACCCTTCAAGCAGGAAGCGGAAACAGAAAGGTTTTTTAACTCAAGTCTAAACCTGGAAAGTTCCAGCAAATTACCAAGAAGTGTTATCACGTGAAGTATACTGTTGGAGTAAAGTTAAAAAAAATAGTAAGTGTTTAAAGAAACAAAGGAACCAAACTCCAAACCTTCATTTGGAAACCCACGTCCAAATAGTCATAGATCAAAGAGCAAAAGATGATGTCAGGATGCAGAGTACAAAATATACAGGCCCGAATGGACTGCTCCACATTCTGCCCGGAATCAGTGGTGCCTGTGTCCAGAGCCTCCTGCCTCAGCCTCCTCAGCCTCCATAACTGCATTTCTTTAGGACTGACAATGACCAAGACTCACTTCCAAAAGTCAGAAAAACGAATCCTAAAGTAAATTCTCTAAAGCGAAGGAGGAAATGATACCCTGAAATTTCCTTTACAGTCCCCAGCAGATCTGGGGAACTGTTACTGTTGGTAACTGTGGGTGGGTGGTATCTCTCTAGTTTCCTTTAGCCTGAAACCTTCCCTCACTAAGATCTGGGTAAAGCTCTACATCGGCTGAGATCAGCCTCAGATCTCAAAACTACCTCAAAGTAGTTTTCAGTGCCTGATTCAGTGGGAGACTTAGAAGCACGAGGAGGATGGCAGGTGGCGCCTGTATGTGCTCCCGGGTCCCCAGGGTTTCTCTGTCACTTCCCCAGGCTCAGGGGTCCTCACCCACGGCATCAAAGGCAGGCAGCAGGCTGACATTCACCCAAGTCTCTGGGGCGGCAGACACCAGCTGGACCTGCAGAGCGCCAGGTGTGTTCTGCTCAGGAAACGTAAGGCGCAGCCCGGGGACTGGGTCCTGCCACCCCGATGCCAGCTGTGTCCGCATCTCCTTGAGGATCTCCCCTCGGTGGCGCTCCTGGTCCTCGAAGTTTGTGAAGCAGTTGAGGAAGAGGATGAGCTCAACCTCGCAGCCACCCCGGAGATTCGTGCCCCTGCCGAAGGAGCCACCCTGCGGAGGGAGGAACAGCTAGGGCCAGGAGCCTACCAACTGCAGCCCAGAAATGGCTCTCTCGCTGATGGTGGCCTCAACAGGGCCAGACCCCAYGAGCCCTTGACTTCTGACTCTTTCGGGCCCAGCAGAGAGCCAAGCTGTGTGGGCTTGCGCCTGCCTCTTTATCTAGAGCTGAGGCAGAGTTCACGGCCATGTGAGGCGGGGCCAGGCCGAGCCACAGTGACCAGAACTTCAAGGCCAGCAGCAGCAGCGCCCACCACACATCTGGAGCAGCAGGTACAAGGGCAGGCTCCAGACCAGATGGGCCTCAAATGCGCTCTGTGGTCTGTTTCCATCAGTCAACATCAGTCCTTCCGTCCATCCGTCTGTCCATCATGCAACAGCATTTACCCACTTCCACGCACCGGGGCAGGTGGGAGCGCGTAAGTAAAAGATTTTCCGCTCAGGAACTTGCCTTCTAGCTTGGGGAGGGGGACGGGGACACAGTGGTTCCTGAGAAAATGCTAAGTGTTCCTGGAGGCCAATAGGCGGGTGGGGCTGGGCGTCCAGCCAAGATGGCCCTGGGAAGTAGCCTGCTCCACCCAGGGCTTCAAGGAGGGAGAGAGGCTCCCCACAGAGCGCGGGGGCGGGTAGCAACCAGAGGATGGGTGGGGGGGGCAGTCCAGGGCCATGTCGTCCTAYAGCCCCAGAAACCAGGGGCCCCGAGCTCAGGAGGGAGGTGATGACTGCTGTGTGAGTGGTTTTATTTTTATTATTATTATTTTTTAATATTCAAAACAAATCCCGGCACTGGACTGTACAGCGAGACCCCGGCTTGCRATGGCTGGGTTGGGGTGGCGGAGAGCGCACCCCACACACCTTCTGTTTGTCACTTTGAGTTCCATGTTYAACCTCAGGAATTTGGGTGCATTATCATAAAGTGGCTTTGGGTTAACGGATGTTGCCCGATGGGGTTGGCGGGGTCCTGGGCACAGCAGGCAAGGCTGGGGCTGGGCTGGGTGAAGGTCTCCTTGGGCCTTCTGGTCGACCTCCGGCCACGCTCCAGGGCGTGGGTCCCCCCTGCCCGACCTAGGCCATGTGGTGCAACCTCTCCCCTTTCCCGCGTCCCTGGAGGGCCCCATGGGGTCCCCACCTGCCCCGCTCACCTTGATCACCCTCGAGGGCCTGTAGGTGCAGTTCTTGTGGAGGCAGCGCTGGAGGACCTCGATGGCCCTCTTGGCCTGCTCCTGGAGCCGTGGGTTGGGCTGCAGATGGTCCTGGATGAAGCGGTCCAGCTCCCTGGCGGGGACCTGGGCCAGGGCAGAGGCCGAGGCTGTGCCCAGGGCCGACAGGGCGCTGCTGGCGGCTGTGGCGGGCTCCGGGGCTGGACTCACGGGCCGGCTGTCCCCTGCCCAGTGACACACAGTGTCGTCCAGGCTCCTGCTGTCCTCAGGGGTCACCTGGTCAGAGTCTCGCAGGACACGGTGGCCCAAATCAGAGCACCCAGCACGTGGGAGGCCCTGGAAGGTGGTTGGAGGAGCGTGTCACCGCACAGGGTCTCCATGCCACCCCCTGCTGCCATCAGCCRCCCCTTTGCTCAGCTGGGTGACTGAGGCTCCGCGAGGGGAAGTGAGGGGCTCGGTGCCTGTGGACAGATTAGAAAAAGGCGCCCTCCCGGGGGGAGACTGCAGAAGGCGCCCCCATGGTGGGTGGAAAGGCTGGGAGGGGCCCTGTGCTGGGGCCTCCTTCCTCCGCGGCCTCAGCCGGTGACTAGAGGCCACCATGSCTGCTGCTCCCACCTTCCCACTCTGTTCTGTGACATGTGGCCCCGGCGCCTCAGAAATATACCAGAACGCATAAATAGGGTGCAAGACCCAAGGGCCCTGGGAAACTCACCAGCCCCTCCCAGGGCTGCACGGGGCTCCCAGAGGCCTCCAGAAAGCACGGGTGGTGACAGCACGTCCGGGCCTCCTCGGCCAGCACATCCCAGTGCCAGGCTGTGCCACTGCCCACGTCCCATGTGGGGTCAGCAGGGTCCAGTATCACAGGCCTGCAGTTCCAGAGAGACAAGGTTCAGTTAGCAAGAAGGTCACCAGGGCTCTGGAGTCAGGCAGAGCTGGTTACAATCYCAGGTTAGTTATTTTCCAGCTGTGTGACCTGGGGCAGATGACTTTCCTTCTCTGAGCCTCAGTCTTCTCATTTGAAAATGAAGATAACAAGGCTCACTTTGATGGACTGTTGTAGAGATGAATTTGGAGCCAGGGTTCTGAACCCTGGCTGCATATTAGGAACCCAAGATACAAGGACCATTGCTGGGAACTCTGAATTACACCCTGTGCTTTAGCAATTCCATTCCTAGGTCTACATCCATTTGATGCATACACATCAAGACACATGCAAGACACATGTGTATATCAGCATAGCTGCCAACTGGGAGCAATCCAATTAGCTATCTTCAGTAGACTGGAAATCATATTGTCCTAAGTCCCTACTATGGAATACTAAGCAGCCATGAAAAAGAATGAACTCAATTAAATGAATGGAACTCAATGACTTAATGTTGAGAAAATGGAAACCAGGCACAAATGGACATAGTGCAYGACTCTATTCAAATCAGATTTAAAACCAGGCAAAACTGGACGGATGAAAATCAGAATGGGGTTTATCTTGTGTGTCGCTGACCAGGAAGAACTCACGGGGGTGCTGGGAGTATTCTGTGACTCTGGGTGGTGGTTTCATAGCCCTTTGTAGACGGTCCTCTAAACGAGCATGCTATCTGTCAGCGAAACCTTCACACACACCACATGTGGCCCAGGCATTGTGAGATTTTTTCACAAGTGAAAAAGGATCACCTGGGGAGTCCTAAGGTGCAGCCGGGCAGCACCCCTGCTCCAGCACTGTCCGTCAGCTCTKCGAGGCCCAGGGACAGGAGAGTACGTGGCGGGTGTGAGGACGTACCTGGGTCTCTCCAGCTGCCTCCGCAAGAAATCCCCGACTRTAGGGTCCTCGAGGCTGTAGTTGACGGTCCAGAAAACACGCAGGCCCTGGTACTGCTGGATCAGGCCCAGGACGGACCGGAACCCCTGGGCCAGGCTGAAGGCGTCCTTCCCACAGCCCCGCTCCCAGGCGAAGATGGTCAGCAGCTCCAGGGCGTAGACCGGGGGCAGCGGCCTGGTCTGYGCCTTTTCCTGGAACACCTGTGAGCAGGGTGGAGGGAAGGGCTCGGCAGGAGGAAGGGGGGGAGGGCAAGGGGTCACCAGGGCGGAGCCAGCAGGACCCGGGACTGTCTACCCCCCCCCCCCACAGATCCGGGGTGCTGGCCAGACTGCCAACTGGAGAGGAGGAGGAGGCCCTTTTAACAAGCTCCAGGCTGCGAGCATTTCCTGTCCCCAAAGAATCCTATCTATGTGGGAAGAACCCGAGAAAGACCGATGCACCTTTTATATAGAAGTAGAGGAAGAAGTCCAGAGGAGGTTAGGAACTTGCCCAGGGTCACACAGCAAATCAGTATCAGAGCCAGAACTGGAATCAGGACCTCCTCCCACCCAGACCTCCCTATGCTGGGTGGTCCAATGGTGGGACCAAGCTGTGTGACTCAAGATTTTGGGGAAGCTTGTCCCTCAACTCCAGGCACAGGCTGGGCACACCTCCTTCAATGCACCAGAGTTTATCAATAAAGCATGAATAGGGCAGATGGGTATTCCTGAGGCTGGGCTAGGAAGCTTACGAACTCCACATTACCTCATGCCGTATGTAGAATATTCCAGACTAGACAAAGCCCTGAATGTGGAAAACAAGCCTTTTGGAAGGCAACAAGGGAGAGTCATGTTGGGAAGTCAGGAAAGGAAAGACTTCAGACACGGAAAGAACAAATAACTTAGGAAAAGATGACTACACCTGATTACATTAAAATTTGAAAACTTTTGCTGACAAATGACCTTTAAGCAAAGCAAAATAYAAGCCACAGACGAAGAGAATATATTTGCACTATATCAAGTAAATAAGAATTAGCATTCATAATATATAAAGAGCTTCAACAAATCAACAAGAAGAAGACAGCTACGAAAGAAGATAACGGACAAAGGACATGAGCAGGCATTTTCCAGAAAGAGGCCATAAAAGGTCACGAAAAATAAGAAAATATTTCCAGTATTATGAAAGCACGGAGAAGTCAAATGTCTGGAGCCAGAACCTTGGCAGAGCTTCACCTGGCGGAACCAGTGCTTCACAAGCAGGATCAGGTTCTTGAGTTTGACGGGGCGAGTGTTCACGAAGTTCCTCCGCAGCTCAGCAAAGCAGGCCGCGTGCTCGCCCCCCTGGCAGCCGCTGTTGAGGAGGGTTGCGTAGACCTCAGGTTTGGGTTTGATTCCAGGACTCAGCGTCCCTGGGGACATAAAGCACTGAGTTAGGATGGGCACTAAGGATGCAGGCCCAGCTCCGCTGGGCACTGGGAGGGAGTAGGGAGAATTCGGGTGGGAGGCGCTGGGGGAGCAGCTGAAGGAACCTGAGGTGCCTGGGTGGGGGACCAGCCCCTCCACCCAGGACCACAGACCCTTCTCGGCCCCCTCTGGTCYGAACCCGCCGTGCTTATTCAAGGAGCCAAGGCTCAGAGACAGGTATAGCCTTGCCCAGGTGGCCCAGCCAGTTAGTGTCAGGGCCAGAACTGGATGACCTGTCTCTCCCCCAGGAATCCTCCCCCAACGCTGGAGTGAGCCGGGGACCCCTCACCCAGGGCGTCAAAGGCAGGCACCAGTTTGACATCCATCCAGTTTTCAAGATCCTCTGATACCAGCTGGAACCACAAGACCCCGGGCATGTTCTGCTCAGGAAACTGGAGGCGCAGGCCCGGGATKCGGTCTTGACACCAGGCGTCCAGCAGCCCCTGCATCTCCTGGAGGATCTCCGCACGACGGCCCCTCTGGTCCTCATAGCTTTCGAAGCAGCCAAAGAAGATGACAAGTTCAGAGTCGCAGCCACCCCTGAGAGCTGTGCCCCGGCCAAAGGAGCCTTCCTGTRAAGGGAACGGCAACGGGAGAATCCGGCTCTCTCCACCACTCACGTCCACCAGCTCTCAGGGTAGCCGGGCTGGGTGGAGACTGGGGCCGTCAGTTCCAGGCATTTGGTGCCGTGAGGGAATGTGGCCAAGGCAGCCAGCTCTGAATTTCCAAAAGAAGCAATTTTAACACATCAGCTCACGATTTTCAAATGTTGGCAACTCACTTTAAAAACAACGAGAAGAGTCAGGCGTGAGAGCGCATGCCTGTAACCCCAGAGACTCTAGAGGCTGAGGTGGGAGGATCACWAGTTGGAGGCCAGCCTCAGCAATTTAGGGAGACCCTGTCTCAAATTGAAAAATACGATGGGCTGGGGTGTAGCTCTGTGGTTAAGCACCTCGGGTTTCAGTCCCTGGTACCCAAAGCAAATTCTACTAAACACCCAGAAACTAGTGGGCAAGAGTTGAGCCCTTTGCTCAGGATGGGTGCAAAACTGTGGTGTGGCTCATGGAACGTCTGAGCCCTTTCGATCAGTGTTTCTGCATAAGATGAGGACGAGGATGAGGACGAGGACGAGGACGAGGACGAGGACAAGGGACCGGACCTCCCAAGCCTCTGCTCTGCTTTGTCCTGGCATCTGACTCCTGATGTCTTGCAGGGAACCGGATGTGGTGACAATCGGTAGCAGATGATGGAGGGTGAGGCCGGGAGGGGGCACAGAATTGCCAGCCAGTAAGTGGCAAGAGCCAGCTAGAGCCAACTGTCACCCCAGCTGGGACCCGTACTTATCCCAACCTCCATGCTGGTCCCCTACAGCCAGTGCTCACTCAGGAACCCTGGGGCTTCCTGCTCCCACCTCCCACTCCGAAGCCAGCCGAGGTGGCCGGGCTCTGACTTCCATCCAAGGAATCGGGGTCCCACCGCTGTGTCCTTAACATCACTGACTTACAGTAGTTTTGTGGTGAAGATTCTCTAACCTCGGCAAAAGCAGGGAGGAGCCTGAATTTGCCTTGCACCCCATTTCTGGCACCCCCCTTTGCTCTGGGTGTGATTCCACCCACACTCCTTCTCGCACAGGCCGATGGYGATTCCCGGGAGCAGGCAGTGGTGTCCCTAGCGGGACTCTGGCAATGTCTGGAAACACTTTTGGTGGGGTGACCCAGCAGGGGAGCCCCTCAGGGGTCATTCTGACGTGGCTCCGGAGTCTGGGGACTCTTCTCTTTGCTTTCTGGTCCAGCCAGAAGCCACGGGCTCATCTCCTACCGCTCTGTCCAGCCCCTGAAAGGGCCACTCTCCAAGGCCCTTCCTGGGGGGCTGGGCTCTGGAACTGAAGTTTACAGATGCCCCCTACGAAAATCCTCATAATGACTCTATGAGCTACATGTCCTACCACCCCAGCTCACAGACTAGAAAAAGCCGCTCAGAGAGGTGCAGTCACTTGCTAAGGACACTCAGCTCAGGAGAGGTGGGGCTGAGATTAAACCTGTGGAGCCTGTCATCCCATCAGCTGGGGAGGCTGAGGCAGGAGGATGGGGCGTTCGAAGCCAGCCTCAGCACGAGGGAGACCCTAAGCCACTCAGTGAGAGCCTGTCGCTAAAGAAAATACCAAATAGGGCTGGGGACGTGGCTCAGGGGTCGGGGCCCCTGGGTTCCATCCAATAGAATAGAGGGGGGGGCGGGGGGGAGCCCGTGCCCTGGGGGCTCGTCCTGGCTCGTGCGTGCGTTAGCAGCACCCTGAGGCTGGACCAGGAGTCGCCCCATCCACAGGCCAAGTCCCCGAGGGGTCCCGCAGTGTCCCCAGGCCACTCACCTTGACGGTCTTCAGCACCCGCAGCGCCGGCCCGGCGCCCCCTCGGCGGCCCCCGCGCTCCCTGAGGGCGGCATCCAGGGCGCCCAGCGCGCGCCGCGCAGCCCCCACGAACTCGGGCGGCGGCTGCAGGCGGCGGGTCACCAGCCTGTCGAGGTCAGCGGCCGCGGTGCCGTACACGTCCATGTCGCTGGCCGCGCCTCCCCGCCCGGACCGATCGCCGGGTCCTGGGGATGCGCCGAGGCACCTGCGCTGCCGTCCCGTCCCTGTCTGGTTCCCGTCCGGCGCCGCGAGTGCCACTCTCCGAGTTTCGGTTTCGTTTCCCGTTTTCCTCCTCCTCTCCGTCCCCTGTGGCGGCCGCGCCCGCTGCCCAGCCCGGGTCAGCGCACCTGCAGCTGGACCGAGGAAGGTGTGCCGGCCCTCCCGCGGGGCTCCCCGGCTGCCCACGGGAAATCGGTGACAAAGTCCGGAGGAAGCAACCCTACCCTGGCAGCCAGGAGACCCCAGTTCTGGCTAGCCTGTTTTGCGGTGCAGCCTCATGTGAGACGCTTAGCTTCTCTGGGCCTGGATTTTGTTATCTGTCAAATGGAGGAAATGTGCCCCACAAGCTTGGAGAGAACTTGTCTCAAAATAAGAAGGGTGGGGACATAGGAGTTAAGAGCACCTGGGCTCAATCCCCAGTACCACCCCCCAAAACAAATAAATATGTAAATAAATAAAAAACAATAAAATAAATGAATAAAATTGAATAATAAAAATTAAAAAGATAATTTAAGGCAAGAGTTTTAGATTTTGAAAAGGAAGGGTTGTGGAGTCAGATGGACTGGGGTTGGAGCTGGTGCCTGTCTGTACAACCTTGTGCAAATTACTGGCCTCTCCTAAGTCTCCATTTCCTCATCCATAAAAATGGGATTACAGGGGCTGGGGTTGTGGCTCAGCGGTAGAGTGTTCGCCTACCACGTGCGAGGTTCTGGGTTTGATCCTCAGCACCACATATAAATAAATAGATAAAGGTATTGTGTCCAACTACACCTAAAAAATAAATATTTAAAAAAGGGATTGTATTTATGAGCCATTACTAGACAGCAGGCATTGTTCCAAATACTTTATATTTAATCCTCATAAAAACCCTATGTGGGCTGGGGGTGGTGGTGCACACCGGATCCCAGGGGCTTGGGAGATTGAGGCAGGAGAATGAGTTCAAAGCCAGCCTCAGCAATTAAGTAAAGCCTTCAAGCAACTTAGCTAGGCCCTGTCTCAAAATTAAAATAACAATAAAGAAGGGGGTGTGACTCGGTGGTTAAGTGCCCCTGGATCCATCCTCAGTGGGGGTGGGGATGTCGCTCAGTGGTAGAGCTGCTTGCCTAGCAAGAGCAATGTCCTGGGTTCAATCCCCCTGCACTGGAAAGAAGGAAGGAAGAAATGAAACGAAAAAAGAAAGAAACTAGATAAGTAATGGCAGTCCAGAGACCGGAGTCAAGACTGCAGACTAAGGGCCTCAGCCAGCTCAGCTGGAGGCTGGAATGTCTCAGTCATAATGGGCCCTGTTATTTATTTTTTCAGATTTACTCTTAAGAAGCCAGAGTAGGCTCCCAAGGTCAAGCTGATGTGGCCGTGCAGATTGTCAGGAGCCAAAGGGGACCCTGGTCCTTCGGTGAAGCTGGGGTACTGAGGTCCTTCTAGCTGGAGGGGCGTGTGAGGATTCTGGGGACCCACCTGCGCGTCAGGGAGTTGTAGGGGCCTGTGATTGCCGACAGAGGGCGCTCCGCTGGGACGGGCTTCCTGGGAGGTCTTTTCCCAAAAGCATACTTTGCAGTTCTCCCCCAGGACCTCAGAATATGACTTTATTTGGAAATAGGGTCTTTACAGAAGTAAACACGTTAAAATAAGGTCATCAGGGTGAGTCCTAATCCAATGCAACTGGTCTCCTTATAAGAAAGAGAAACCTAGACAGAGACAGGCGAACCAAGGGAAAAATCATGTGACATTGGAGGCAGAGATGTGGGGAATTCAGCCACAAGCCAAGGACACCAGAAGCCAGAGGCACCGAAGAGACTCTTCCAGCCACCCCTGCCCACACCTCTAACAAATGATAAGGTGATTTACTAGATAATCATATTTATTAGACTTTAATTAGATAATTAGAAGTGAAATAGCTCTGTTTATTAGGATTTTCACAGACAGCGCCTGTCTCCTGTGACATCAGCCCTGACAACTGCCTCATCCACCTTTGCCTCCCCAGCACGGCCCCTGGGACCTGGCCCAGAGCAGGGCCTTGGCAATGTTTCTGAATCATCTTAATCATAAGCTCAGGTGCCATCACCCAGTTGCTCCCTAAATCCTCTGCAGACACTTTTAGAGCTGTGATTGTTCCCCAGGTGACAGAGGAGAGCCTGTTTCCCCAAGGGCTCAAGGGACCCGTACAGGGTGATGGCCTGAGGAAGAATCAGGCACTGGGGGGACCCTGGGGGACCCTGGGGCCCCGGCTGTTGCCTGGAGAAAGGAATTGTGGGAGGAGAAGGGAGCCAGGGGACCAAAGGCCGCAGCAAAATCTCCCTCTTTTGAGCTGGGGAACCTCGACAGGCAGCCAAGGGGGCCGGGTGGGCCTGTCAATGGTGTGTCCCAGGTTCCGCCACCTGCCAGCTCCCAGCTGCGTCCTTAATGCCAGCGTGAACTCTGCCCTCCTCTCTTTGGGCTAAACATTAACTCCTCTGTTGGTTTTGTGGAGCCCAGAATGCGGGGAGGGCCCTTCCCCTGGAGATGCACGACCAGTTCCACTCAGGCACCTTGATTTGCATCCAAAGTTGATCCTCCTCACACACCCGTGCTCCTGGGTCGAAAGACACTCCAAGTTCACRGACCATTCCTAAACTAACGTGTGCGATTTCTCTTGATTTTGTCCTTGAGTTAGCAGCACCAAACAATAGCGCCCCAGAGCTTTCTGTATACTTGGTCCTAAAATCTGGATCCCTCAGACACCTGTGGGTTAGAGGCTTGGTTCCCAGGATGGTGCTGTGGGAGGTGGTGGGATCATTCAGAGGTGGGGCCTGATGGGAGGTTCTTGAACAGCCTCCAAGGCAACACTGGGACCCCCGGGCTCTTTTTCCTTCTCTTCTGCCCCCTGACCATGAGGCCAGGCATTTTATTTCTCCATGGGCTTCAGCTATGATGTGCTCTCTCCACACGGGCCCAAAGCAACAGAGCCAATCAACAATGAACTGGAACCCTCACAACTGTGAGCTTAGATTGTACATTTCCTCTTTCTGATTATCTCAGGTATTTTGTTGCAGTCCTGGGAGCTGACTCGGGGATTACTGCATTTGCACAAATTATCAGAGCTTAGCTGAGACAAAGGCTTCTCAAAAACACATTTTTGAAAGAAAAACTGCTGTGTTATTTCTTATGACTATACAAATAATACAAGTTTACTGCAAAAAAAAGATACTAAACTCAGAATATTCAGAAAAGCATAGAGATCACATATGATGCTACAACCAAGTATTTATAACCATTAAAAGCATTTAAGTCTCCCAACTATTACCAAATAAAGTTAAAGAAAATATAGAAAGCACAGTCTCAGTGAAACAAACCCCTAGGGATACCTGTCACAAAGGACATGAAAGGTGATTTGTAGGCAAAAAAATAAATCCGAGTCCCAGTTGTTAGGATGTATAGAAATGGGTTGAAAGACACTCCAAGTTCACGGACCATTCCTAAACTAACGACGTGTGCAATTTCTCACATTCGGGGCAGAACATCACAAGTTGATTCTACTATTCACATCAAAATAGAATGGCCAAGAGGAGCCAGAGTTTTGAGAAACAGAGAAAGGGGTTTCCTGAAGATGTCAGGACTCACCAGCCCCAGTACTGAAGACAAGGCCAGATTAACTCAGGGAGACAAAAATACACCGATGGGAAGAACCAGAGTCCCCAGACAGACTGGCCCATGGATGGGCTCTGGGTGCACGTCAGAGTGGCCTGGCAGAGCAGCCAGGAGGGGGGGGTCTCTCCAACAAACACTGCTGGGGATAAGCAGGCACAGAAGGGTGGACCCAGCCCCTGACCTCAACGCCATCTAATAAGACATGCTTTAGGTGCCTGGGCCTTTGGTGACATATCCATGAACTCAGCACCAAGACTTCTAGGAGTTTTATTTTCAGGACATTATGTTTCAGCCTTCATTCCATTCTGAGTCGATTTTGGCCTATGGTGTGAGGTAAGGGTTCAGTGTTGTTCTTTGCACGTGGATATCGAGTTTTCCCAACAYTGTTTGTTGAAGAGCCTGTCCTTCCCCAGTTCTGTAGTCCTAGCAACCTTGTCAAAAATCAGCTGACACAGGCGAATCACACACACACACACCCACACTAAATGCACAAATAGACTAGGGGGACGGTGTCGTCCTAAAAGCCTTTTGCACAACAAAGGAACCATCAGTGGACGGAGATGTTTAAACATTGCACTTGCTGTGTAAGTCCAGAAGGACCCTGGGGAGGGCCCAGAGGAGCCAAAGGAGTGTGCTGGAGAGAGGGAGCTGGCATCTTCAAGGGTTTCCATGATGTCCTTCTGGGAAGGACTTTCATTGGTGGTGGTGGAGGGGATGATAGGACCTTGGCATGATGGGGAGCAGTGGATGCAGTGGTTACCATGGGGGATGAGGCAGGGGGCGGGTCCAGGCCACAGAGAGTTGTGGATGTGCTTAATACAACCTGGCATCCTCAGGGCTCAGCTGATCCTCAGCCCAGAGGGAGACCACCCACTGTGGGTCATTAGAAGAAGCCAAGGTGACGGGCCCTGACCTGGTTTTTGGACCTGAGCCAGTTTTCAGGCTGGAACCCGGTTGACTAAAGAGGATGCAGGGGACCCTGGGGTTCAAGACCCTGTGACGCCCCAGCACACACAGGAGCGCTCTCTGCTAATGGACCAGAGCCCCTTATTCAGCCTATTGTACCGGCCACTTTAAAGCTGTGTGGCTCATCCTGTGATAAAGGACAGCCACTGTAGCCCATTCCCCTCTTCACGAGGAGGAGGACTCCGTGGTTAAGTCCATCTGTCGCCTCGACTGGGCTGAGGTACCCAGGGAGCACAGGCCGTTATTTACGGGCACGTTCTTTCTGGGCGCATCTGTGAGGGTGTTTGCAGGGGAGCTTGGCACGGAAATCGGGAGATGGGCGCCATCCTATCTGCGGGGCACCCACGTAGATTCCGGAGGCAGAGAAGGGTGCTCTGCTCTCTGGTTGGGCCGGGGCTTCCATATTCTGCTGTCCTCAGACATCCGTGCTTCTGGTTCCTGGGGTCACCAGGGTAGGAAGACGTGGGACTTCAGTGTGTGAGGTGCCCGGGCCACAGGGCAGTGTTAAGAGAGTCAAGTTCAAGGACGGAGGGAGCGGGCTGCTGGTCCTCAGGTCCTCAGGGTCCTGCATTTATTACAGCGAAATCCATCCATCAGCGCTGCTGGGGATTGAAAGGAGGGACTTAAGGATAGAAGGAAGACTGCTGGCCAGCCACTCTGGTGACCAGGGACCCAGGTGATAAGAGCTTTGGTTCTTCTGTGTTTATTCATGAGCTGGGACCGTCTGCATTTACAGGAGCTTCACATTTTGGAGTCTTAGAAATGAAATGCAGCTTCTTGGTACCCTGGACAGCACGATGATGTAGAAACGTGAGTGGGCGGAGCCTATTATTCAGCCCAGGGCCCCACCCCGAGGGCAGGGTTGTCCTCTAGACCTCAACGCAAGCCGCGTTTGTCACTTTTTCAGTAGGGTAGCTGCATTGAAAAAGGAAAAAGATGAAGTTCCTTTTGATTTAACTCAAAATCTCAAAAAATGGTCACTTCAGTACGCAACCGAGTTTTTCAATTATCAGTTGTCAAGAATTTGACTTTCTTTGTACAAAGTCTTAAAATCCTGTATATGTGCTGTACTTGCAGCACATCTGGATTTGAGCTGGCTGCATTTTTTTTTTTAATTTATTTTTTAGTTCTGGGCGGACACAACATCTTTGTTTGTATGTGGTGCTGAGGATCGACCCTAGGCAGCACCCATGCCAGGCGAGCGCACTACCACTTGAGCCACATCCCCAGCCCCAGAGCTGGCTGCATTTTAAGTGGCTAGTCGCTCCTGTTCTAGAAATTTTCCTAGACCTGTGCATAAGGATCAATGAGGATGCTTGCTTGTCTTGGGATTACTTATAAAAAGAAAACAGGAAGGATCTCAAACCATCCAGCATCAAGGTGTCAACTCCATAAGAATAGGGATTTTTGTCTGCTTTGTGACTGTGTTCCCAGGGTCAGACCTGTGTTTGGCACAGTAAGAGTGCAAAAATTAAATATTTCTATGCCTGGAGCAGCGACGTAGACCTGTGATCCCAGCGGCTCAGGAGGCTGAGGCAGGAGGATCTTGAGTTCAAAGCCAGCCTCAGCAATGGTGAGGTGCTAAGCAACTCAGTTAGACCTGACTCAAATAAAATACAAAATAGGGCTGGGGATGTGGCTCAGGGCACGGACCTCTGAGTTCAATCCCCCGTACACCCCCCCCAATAAAATAAAGTAAAATTTTTCTAGTTGAATTGATGGCACACACATGCATTGGCATCTGTACTTCTTCTGTACTTCTTGGCTCTTTGCCTTGAAGTTAATAAACACCCAAGAAAGACCTTTGCTGTTATTTTCATTTATTGTTATTGATAATTGAACAGATGAAAGTCGAGACTGAATTCTGCTCTAAATCTCTCTCGACAAAACGTTTTCAGAGACTGGGTCGGGCAGAGGGGGCTGGGCTGTGGGAAATGCACCTGGAAGAAGCAGGAAGGGGGGGGGGTCAGGGGCTGGACTCTGACCCCAAGGGTGCCTCTCGCTTAGGACACAGGCAGTGCCTCGATTTCTCTGGGTCCAGAGCTGCACCTGGTATGGGGCGGCTCTTCGGGGGACTCTGGAGCCGCCTCCCCTCAGACACACAGGGGGTCACAGGATGGTGCACGTCCAGTTCCCGTCCTCCTGGGGAAGGGGGTCTGCCTGGTATGCACTCTGGCACCAGAGGTCAGCGTCTTTGGCTGTCCTGATGTAGCCCCTCTGCTGAAATGGCCACGCAGTCCCAAGGTCCGCCGTGTGCTGCAAAGGGGAAACACGTGGTCACATCCGGGCGCCTTCTTCCCACCTTGGAGCTGGATGTCAGTGACAGTGGACATTGTGACTGTCCAGTTGGACCCCTCTCAAGGAAGGACTAGCAAGTCCCAGCTGCTGGGAAGGTGTTGGTCCAGGAGGTGCTCACCCAGAACATCCCTGAATCTGCTCCCTGGGAACCTGCCTGCGACATCACCAGTCCCCTAGCATCCGAAGGACCCCAACCCCGGAGTGGAAACCTTCAAGTTCAGGTCCCTCTGCCCCTACTTAGTCATGTGACACAGTCAAGTCACCTGAGGCTGAGCCTCCCACTTGCCAGGAGGCTGGTTAGCACAGTGAGCTGAGCACAGGCTCTGGAGACCTCAGAGGTTTTATTTTTGGTATCAGGGATGGAACCCGGGGTACTTAACGACTGAGCCACATCTCCAGCCCTTTTAAAATATTTTATTTAGAGTCAGGGTCTTGCCAAGTTGCTTAGGGCGTCACTCAGATGCTGAGGCTGGCTTTGAACTTGTAATCCTCCTGCCTCAGCCTCCTGAGCCCCTGGGATTACAGGCGTGCACCTCTGCGCCCGGCATCCACAGACTTTTAATCCCAGCCCCACCTCTCCTTAGCTGAGTGTCCTTGAGCAACTGATATCACCTCTTTTTCTCATTCCTAAGATGGGGTGATAGTAAGTGTAGCTCAGAATCATTGGGAAGATTTAATGAGGTCACCTGTGTTAAAGGGCTTGGGATGAAACCTGAGCCCGAAGCAGACACTCAGTAAGTGGAGATTGTATTATTTATTGCTACTCTTAGTGGAATGAACTCTGGACACGGGTTGTGGAAATTCCACGACTTCTGTGATTGGGGCCAAAATGACTCAAAGGGGGAGCACAGCCCGCAGCTCCTTGAGCATGGGTGACCTCTAGCAAGAAGTCATTTCTTTGAGACCGGTCTTGACCTTTTGCTCAAGGTCACCTATATTCATAGAGCCATCCAGGTCACCCAGTCACACGGAGAATGTTGAAGCTGTATGGAGCGGGTGGGATGGACCATGGGAAGGAAGCAGAAGGTCTCACCGACACATCCCAGACTCCCACTGGGGACCCATCCCGTTTCTGAAAGCACCGTGACTTCAGCCAGGCTTTGGCCTCCTGCGCCAGCCGATACCAGCCCTCTGGATTTCCACCTCCCACATTTCCTGTAGGGTCTGCGGGGTCCAGAATCACAGGCCTGAAAAGAAACATTTGGAAATGGATGGGGAGGAGCCAGGGCGGTGTCCAGGGAGCCCAGGTGCTTCTGCCAGAGCTGACAGGAACCTGGGACAAGCTGGAACTCAGGCAGGAGGGACCCAGCAGGGCACTGCCCCTCCGTGGGCAGACCCATGAGGAAGGGACCTTTACACACAGGCCCGGGTTCCAATCCCACCTCTGCCCTTGAGCGGTGCTGTGCCCTGGGGCAGGTCACTTGACCTCTCCTGCCTCAGTTTCCTCATCTGTGACTGGGGGAGATCTGAACGTGCCTGGCTCAAAGGGCGCAGCGTGGAGATGAGCTCATACACAGTGAGCGCTCAGCGGTGACTGGAACCTGACAAAGTGTCCGTCCAAGTCCGCAGCACAGGGAGGACTTTGGCTGTCGTGTTAGGACAGGTGAGTCCACGCAAGCTTTCCCCTCCTGGCAGTAGTTATTATCATTGCTGCTGCCATTCTTATTTCAGTTCTGATTGCCGCTGTGCCCGGGCATTCCTTCCTGTGGGGAGCTAAGCCATGTGGGGACGGGGTAGGTACCTGGGTTTCTTGAGCTGCTGGGTTAAGTAGGTTCCGATAATGGGGTCTTCAAAGTCGTAATATTTTGTCCAGTAGATGCAAAGCTGCTGGTAGTCTATGACTAATCTCAAGACGGTCTGAAATCCCTGAGCCATTTTGAACTCAGATTCTCCACTCCCACGCTCCCATGCGTAGACTGTGAGCAACTCCAGGGCATACTGGGGTGGCAGTGGCTTTCCGAGCTTCTTCTTACACTGAGAAGAAGAGAACAATCAGAAATGGCAGGTCCAGCTTCTGTGTAAAGTCCATTCTCACAGGCTAAATCCAGCCTGCCATGTTTTTGTAAATCAAGTTTTAATGGCACACAGTCATGCCATTCGTTTATATATAGCCAATTCTGTTGCAATGACAGAGTTGTGTTTGGACAGACACCACATCTCCTGCAAAGTCTAAAAGATGAAGTATCTGACTCTTTATAGGAAAAGGGAACTGAGCCCTGAGGAGAGTCTGAGCTCTGAATTCTTACTGCTCTGGATTTGAATCTACTGTTGGACTCTGGCAGATGGTTTAGACTCTCGGAGCCTCATTCTGCATTTCACAAGTACAATGACCAGCACATAGATAACCAGGCACCCAAGAAAATAAGACACCAAAAGCGAAGACCAGAGGAAAAAAGAGACACAATAGTCAACACACAAAACCTTCAATATTGAAGGATTGAGCACACAGACTTTAAAATAACTAGGGATATCATATCCAAAGAAATAAAAGCTTGAAATATGAGGGAATTAGAAGCTATAGAAAGTACCACGGCAGATTGGAAAAAGAATGAAACAGAAATTTAGGACAAAAATGACAGCTAACAACTATAAATTAGACACAGCTAGAGAGAAGCTCCATTAACTGGAAGGTAGATTAGGAGAAACCATCCAGAATTAAGCTTAGAAAGACCTTCTTCCTTCCATGTCCCCTCCTCTCCCTTTCTTTCTCCCTCCTCCTGCAGCTCTCCTTTCTCCATCTCTCCATTACCCCCTCCACCTCTCTTTCTTCTCTCTCCCCTCTTCCCTTCCCTTTATTTCCCTTCACCTGCCCCTCTCCCTCCTCCTCCCTTCTTTCTCTGCCTCCCCTTTCTCCTCCCTATCCAGACCATAAATGGCCTGGCAAGATGTCCATACCAGTTGGAACCAGTACTTGACCAGACGGATGAGGCTCTTGAGCTTGGTTGTACGCTGCTTCAGGAAGGCTCGCTGTAGCTCTGTGAAGCAGGTGGAGAACTCGCCCTCTAGCTGCCGGGAGGTGCACTCCAGGATGAGCTTGACATAGATCTGGGGGCTGGGTCTGTAGCCTTTGGTTAAATGACCTGTTAGAGTGGAAGTTTGAGATGTCAGTCCTCCTCTGAGGTTCTTGGGGTCACTCTGTGGGGTTCAGTGGAAAGGACAGAAAGCTTCATTCCTTATATAGTCCCACATTTTGTGTAGCTGTAGCTTGATGATGGCCCCATAAGAGTACAATGCAGCTGAAAAATTCCTGTCACTTAGTGATGTCATATAGACACAGCTAGAGAGAAGCTCAGTTAATTGGAAGGTAGATTAGGAGAAACCATCCAGAATTAAGCCTAGAAAGACTTAGACACAGCTAGAGAGTAACTCAGTTAATCAGAAGGTAGATTAGGAGAAACCATCCAGAATTAAGCCTAGAAAGACCTTCTTCCCTCCATGTCCCCTCCCCTCCCTTTCTTTCTCCCTCCTCCTGCAGCCCACTTGTGATTGTGCTGTTGGTGGTGAACCTATTGTGCTGCCAGTCACAATACTTGACAGAAATAAATGCTGATGTCACTGGCTGATGTCCTTGTTGGTCTAGACACTTTGCCTTTATTTGAGTGTGCACTCCTGCTTTAACAACTCAGTTTACCAGGACACAGTACGTGTGGCCACAGCCTTGTGGTTGCTGTGTGGACACATCTCTTGAGGACTGCATTCTTTCCCTCCTGCTTCACGTGATCTAATGTGCTTGGTTGAGCAGGGTTCTAGAAGCAATAGGCTGTCCAGTTTATCTAGATAAAGAGGTCTAGACACACATGCAACCCAGACAGCCTCTTCCTGGTCATGGCTTACAGTAGGCATTCATGGATAATCTGAGCTTGCGGGGCTTGGTTGGATGGCCCCCTCCTCCAGCCCACTGCTGTCCCCCAAATACAGACCTGGTCACGTCTTGTCCCCACTTGATGGAAACTTCTGCCCATGGTGCTCAGGAGAAGGCCATTACTGAGCTTGGGGGCTTCTGTGGGACGGCTCTCTGGGCCATTTCTGAGTGGCTCCTCCCTGTCCTCCTCACTCCATTCCGACTGTGGCCTCCTATGGTTTCTCCGCCTGTCCTGCCCTCGTCCCACCTCCATCCCTTGGCCTCTGGTGCTGCCCTCTGCCTGCAACTTGCTTCTCTCCTTATCTCTTCTCTCTCCCTCTTATTTTGTACCCAAGTGCCCAATGCAGAATGCATTTAGAGCATCAATATGTATATATTCTCATGGCTTCTCTAGGCCAACAGGAACGCCCTGGAGGACCATAGTAGCAGGTTGTGGTTGCTGTGTCGCCCTCCAACATTTAAAATAAATGCTCCGTGAAGTCCCTGCTGTGAGTTCACTGTGATGGTCCAGGGTGATGTTCGTGTAGAGTTGGGGAACGGGTGGTTGTGAAGACCTGCAGTGACCGGCTAGATGTAAGAGCTTAACGTAGATTATCATTTAATTCTTAGCCAGGCTCGGTGGTGCATGCCTGTAATCCCCTCCTCAGGAGGCTGAGGCAGGAGAATTGCAAATTTGAGGCCAGCTTCAGCAACCTAGTGTGACTCTAAGCAACTCAGCAAGACCCTCTCTCAAAATAAAAAATAAAAAGGGCTGGGGATGTGGCTCAGTGGTTAAGCACCCCTAGGTTCAATCCCTGATACCAAAAATAATAATTTTAAAAAATCTTTAAATAAATGACAGACAGACAGAGGAGGTGCGATTAAGTCAGTTTTCCTGATGTAAAAATTGCACCTCTGAGAGGTTCTGGGTCTTGTCCCCTTGACCCCGCAGACGCCCAACCCTCAGTATGAGTGTAAGGTTCCCTCAGCACTGGGAGAGGATGAGAGGAACATTAGCTTTGAGCTAGATCTAGGTTGCTCCATCTTTCAAAGATGCAGCCCACACACTTGCCACTAACAGAGGCTGTATGCTTTGCAGATATYCTTTAAGAGATGCCCCCGTCCCCTAGTTGTGCCAGTTTGCTATTAAACACCCCTTCTGTGATCTTACGGGTTCACCTGCCCCAGGGGAAACTCTAAAACCTCCCCACAGCCTGTAGCTTTAAATGGTCACGCTGTTTGGGTAAAACCCTCAAACCATGCGAGATTGCAGCTCAGAAATAGGAAAGAGGACCATGGAGGAAGAAGGCTGATCCCCGGGGCCAGGAGTGCTCACCCAGGGCATCAAAAGCRGGCAGCACATCAAACTCCACCTCTTCACTGAGGTAAGAGGAACTCAGCACRAAGCTGAGCACGCGGGGATTGGACCATCGTGAATTCTGGATCCGAAACTTCACATCAAACTCCTCTTTCGGACATGCTTCCAGTTGTTTCTTAATTTCTGTGATGAACTCTCCCCGGTGTTCTAACTGATCCTCAAAACTGGTGAGATTTTCAAGGAAGACAACCAGGTCCGCATCAGACCGGCCTCTGAGGGAAGTGCCTTTGCCCGAGGAGCCACCCTAAAAACAAAACAAAACAAAACAAAAAAAACCAAAAAAACACACACACAACAAGAGTGACAATTGACACTTAGTGAGAAGAGCCTCGCCATATAAAGAGCTAAGCATAATCACTAACAATCGAGCACTAGCCACGGTTCAGAGGGCATTTCAAATCTTCACTTCTACAGTGCTCACAAGGACTCTATGCATTTGATACTGTTATTGTTTGTTTCCATTTTACAAATGGGGAAATCTGCACAGTGAGATTACATAGCAGCTCAATCACCCAGCCAGCAGCTCAATCACCCAGCCGGTAGGCAGCAAAGATGCCAGCCAAGCCCTGGGTGTCTTATTGAAGTGTCTTTTCTTCACTCCCTTGTCCTCTGTTATCTTCTCTTGTTACACACCTGTATCAGTCAGCTCTGCATCCCTGTGACCAAAATACCTATCAGAAACARATTAGGGGAGGGAAGTATATTTTGGCTCRTGGTTTGAGAGGYTTAGTTCATGGTGGTTGCCTGACTCCATGGCTCTGGGCTCAAGGTGAGGCAGGGGGAGGAAGGGACTACAGGGGGAAGGTGAACCCTTCCAGGCATGTCCCCAGTGACCCACCTCCTCYAGTCATGCTCCAGCTGACTATAGTCACCATCCAGTGAGTCAATTCAACCAGGATGGACAGATTAGGTCACAGCTCTCAYCATCCAATCACTTCACCTCYGAACATTCCTGCATKAACCCAGGAGCTTTTGAGGGACACCTCATATCCACACCTAGCAACACCCCAGACTAGCTCATGCTGATTTGCACAGTTATTTTCCTTAACCTGCATGGTCCTGTGAGATGAGGAAATTGGGGCACAGAGAAGTTATGTAACTTGCTCAAGGTCTCACAGCCAATAGGTGCTATTTGCTTTTCAAACATGCTCTGAGACTGTAGAAATGGTGAATCTCCAGCCTTGCCACCCATCAGCAAATTGTTTATCAGAGCTGGGCCCCCAGCTCTGATATGGACATAGCCTGGGACAGAGGATCATGAACTTCACCCAGGATGCGTCTTAACAATGCGGATGCAGGACCTCACATCAGAATTGATTTTAACAGACTGTGGTTGTATCTGTGATATGGGAAAAACCAGAAAGGAGCCTCGGAGACCTCTGTGCCCCGGCTCACTGTGCATGCCTGCTCTGTGGTCTGACTCTCTCCCTCTCTGTGGGACTGCTTACCCACGCAGCCACCCCTGCCCTGGACAGCAGCACGGGGCTTACCTTGACCACCTTAGACACCCGCACGCGGTGGAAAGCACCTTGGAAACACCTTTCCTTTAAGAAACTGCAGATAATGTCGATGGCCTTTTTGACTTCCTGGCGGAATCGTGTGTCCGGCAGGAGATGGTCTTCGATGTACTTATCTAGGTCTGAGGCCCAGACGCTTCTGAGGTCCATGGTGCCCGGTGGAGGGGAAACAGCCTCGGAGACCTGCCGGCTCAGCCTTTACCCCTTCTGCCGAGGAGCCTGAGCTGTTGGTTTCGTTTCCTTAGCAGGAAACTTTGCATTTCTGCTTAGCAAATCCACGCCCCGCCCCCCCCCCCAGGATTCCAGCCCCAAGTGCACCCGCCCCTCCCCCACTTCTGCAATTTCCCTGTGTCCCTGGACCAGCAGCTGGTGTTTCTTGAGACTCTGAAATGTTGTTTTGAAGCTCCCAGGCAAGAGAAATCCCGTCCACAAACCAATATAGGGCTTCCTTCCTGGTCTTTTGTTGTTGTTAAAAAATTGTTTTGCAGCCTCTCAAGATTTTTTTTTTCTTATAACCATGTGTACATAGGCAAGAAGGCAAGAGGAGGGAAACCAGGCAGAGAGAAGATGGCTCAGGACCCCAAGCCCCCAAGCGTCCAGTGGAGAGGTTTTCAGATGTTTTTCTGTGTCACACAAACACACATGTAGTTCATTCATTCATTCATTTTTAAAATGGTATTATACTCTTCTCTGTCTCTCTCTCTCTCTCTCTCTCTCTCTTTCTCTCTCTGTACTAGGGATTGAACCCTGGGGTGCTCTATCCTTGAACCACATTCCCCAGCCCTTTTTATTTTATTTGGAGACAGGGTTTTGCTAAGTTGCCCGGTTGCCCTTGAACTTGTGGTCCTCCTGTCCTGAGTGCCTCAAAAGAGAGTCAAAAGCTTCACTCGTTATGCCAGATTCCTGGGACCCCAATAGACCCCCAGGAGCCGAATCCSATGCAATCACACAAGAGTCTTTATTACAAGCTGGAGCCTGGACTCACAACTGCTCCGTTGCAGGGGTCCCAGGGAGTGAGCCCCAGTCCTTTGTGCAGTGAGATTTTATAGGTTTTGGGGGGATACTCTGTGCGTCACAACATCACACAGCAAATCGTTCCACACCGCGGGAAAAATCAAACAACAACTCTTAACATTGATTAGCACATTCACTGGTGGGAACAGGTCGGGTAGGGGTGATGGGTTAGTGCAAGAGGGGGATTCGTTTGAACTGACTGGTTTAGGCCACGAGGGGTGTACGTGCTAACTACATGGTTTCCCAACATGTTACCAACCCCCATAAACTGCTGGGGGGTCATCTGCATTCCAGGTATTCTCCCTGTCTCATGCTGATTGGAGGTTGCTAGGGGGTTGCTCTGGGTCCCCACCTAGCCCGACTGAATCAGGGACATCTGGCACCTCAGATCTCTCCTGTTATTTACCTACAAACCACTCAGCAGGGTGGGGATGTGCCTAGGAGTGCTCCGTGGTTCCAAGGACAAGGGTCACGCCCCCTTCCTTAGGACAGGCCTGGAGGTAGAAGCTGCTGTTATTTATTTATTTTTAAAAATGGAGTCACATYAGTTTCTCACACTCTTTTCTGTTTGTTTTTTTAAATATTCCTCTGCATTTTCATCACCCGATTAAGAAATAAAATCAGACACTGTTTTATTGGCATATTATAATCGTACATAACAGTAGGTTTCATAGGTGTTTATTTGTATGTGCGTATGATAAAAATTGGTCCATTTCATTCCTTGGGATAAGGCTACCTGCTGGTGGAGGGCAATTTGCATTCCGACAAGGTCAAGGTCCTCTGTTATGGAACTGTACAGGTCAGTTCTACTGCCCTAGCACTCCGCCCTGCTCCATTTATTTATTTTTTTCTTTTTTCCAATCCATGCATTCAATGCTRGGTTGAAATTTCCCTCTAAGTTGTACTTTCATGTATTCTGGTAGGTTTTTTTTTTTTCCTGCTATTTTCATTTTCTTCAAAATATTCTTAAACCTCTCTTGAGACTTCTTGGCCGCATGTATCATTTAGAAATGTGCTATTGAATTTTGGAGTTTTCTGGCTCTCTTTCTTTTATTCAGTTCTCCTTCCCTTTCATTGCAGTAAAAAGAAATTTTCTTTCAACTTCGTTAAGGTTTGTTTCGGGCCCAGAATGCAGTCTTTGTGGTCTACCTTGGTAAATGTTCTACGTGGGCTTAAGAAGGATGTGGTCTTTTTATTTTAATTAATTGATTTATTTATTTTAGTTGTAGTCGGACACAATACGTCTATTTTATTTATTTAATTCTATGCAGTGCTGAGGATCGAACCCAGGGCCTCCCACGTCGTAGGCGAGTGCTCTGCCCTGAGCCCCAGCCCCGGCCCAAGAATGTACGTGTCGGTTTTTGGCTGGAGTGTTCTATAGAAGCCAAGTGGCCATGTTCTCAGCCACCCTTCTTAACCAGCTGGACAGTTACCTGGACCCACGGAGGGGTCGGGCCTGTGTGCGAAGCTCGCCTTGCTTGCCGGTTTCGGGGTGCGTTGATCATGGCAACTGTAGCTTCTAATAAAATGCAGACTTTTTGCCAATTATCTAGAAGCAGATCCAACTTGAGCGTCCAAGGAAACTGTCCTTAGAAGACCAACTCYCAATTCTTTGGAAGATGTCAGAAGAGTGCCCCACCCCCCAACCACCACCGCATAGAGCAGGCTGCAGCCAGATGGGAAAGTGGTGAACTAYTGAGGAAATAACTAGAGAAATTCAAGGATGCCCAGGGGTGCCCTTGTTGTCCTTTGCTGGTGGCCCTGTGATCACTTCCTTTAAAGAAACAGAAACAGGAAACCCTGATGATTGTTTCTTGTGTCACTTGAGAAAGCTTTGGCAATAGCTGTGGCCAGAGGCCTGTCCTCTGGGCGGGACAGTCTTGGTTTTTGGTTGCATGACTGAGGCCCATCATGCTAGGGAATCCTGACCCTCTGAGGTCCCACCCACGAAAGAGAAGGACAAGAGGTGAGTGATTTGCTGGAGGTCATGCAGCAAACGTGGACCCAACCCAAGCAAATTGAACCTTTTCGGTGACTTCCTGTTTCCATGGGGCTCCTAGCGCTCCTAGGATGGTCTCACCCAGTGCACATCGGGTTGGGTTGAGGGGGGCACCTTGGAGGGTTGCAGGAGGGGAGTGTTCAATCTACGTAGCCATCGACCAGTCGGGGCAGGGGCTGCGCTGCCTTCACCAAGATCCACAAGCCCCGGGGCGCCTTTCCTCGGCTTCACCTTTGAACCCCCATGGGAGACCTGGATCTCCAGATCTCAGCTGCTTGTCCTGGCCTCTGGCTCCTGCCCAGAACAGACACCACCTCTGCAGCTTCTGCTCCCAGCTGGGCAGAGACCTGGGGATCTGCTCTCCGCCTTGCTCCTCCCCCATGTCAGTGCACCACCAAAGCCAGCCCCTCGCCTTTCCCCACGTGAGCTCTGTGAGGGCGCRGAGCCCCAGCTCAGGCACTGGCTGACTGACTGAATGGCTTTGTCGATCCCCCACTTGTGGCAGGGACTCTTCACAGACGACTCCACCGATGTCCCTCAGTAACTCTCTGAAGGTTCTACTCATGAGTCCATATTCCAGACGAGAAAATTGAGACTCAGAGAGGTAAAGTGACGGGGCCACAGGTGCACAGCTAGACTGTGACCAGCGGGATTTGAATGCTGGCCTGGATGAATTAAAAGGCGGGTGTGTCCTGGGTGCTGTCTACCAGGCAAACTCTCCCCATACGTATTCGCCTTGGCCTGTTGGGAAAGGAGAGAAGCCGTTTTGGGGATGGGAATTATTTTTTTTTACAACTACCCCTGTGACTGACTGGCGGTGGCTGCTGGGAGGCCGTGTTGGAAAGGAGACAGGAAAGCAGCCCTATTGATTATTGACTTCTGCTGCCACCAGCAAGGGAAGGGTCCCTGGGGGGCCCACCCGCGGGCACCTTTCTCCCTCTGGTGGCAGCTAGCTGAACTGCAGGAGAAATGGATCAACTTTGAAGGGAGCTGTTTTCAGAATCATCAGGGAAGTGGGAGTCACAGACATGAGCCCGAAAATACAATCCTACACCCCGGCTTTGGGGTTTAGTGGGATCTGGGTGCGGGKAGGGCAAGGGTGCTTTGAAAATAAATCCCCCAGGTGATTCCAATGTGCTCTCCAGCATGATATCAGAAAAGGAAGTGATCTTGAACCTGGCCTGGGAGCTATGTTTCTGGGGTGGGGAATGGGCCCCCCCTTCTGGGAAGTGACTGGCTTTCCTGGGGTCGAGGCAGGAGGGACAGGGTGAGGACATGCCTCGCTGTTGGGCAGGCACCTGAGAAAGGTGGGGGTCGGCCAGGATACCTTGAGCCCACCTGCTCGTGCCCAGGATGACCCCACCTGGGCAGGACCACATCTGCCTGCTGCACCCCGGTACCCAGGCACCCCACCTTCCACACTGCGTGTGCACGTAGTCGCGGCCTCCGTGGGAAGGCAGAACTGGTAGATGCCACAAAGGACAATCGAGGACAGCAGTTTTCCTGGACATTCCTACTTTATTTTTGGCTACAGCATCACAAAGAAAGGCGTGGGCGGTCGAGCATGCACCGGAAGGCGGGTGTGTATCGAGGCGGGAGGTGGTCACAGCTGTCCGGGGACAGGTGCGCCCCGACGGGGCCACCGGGAGCTTGCCACGTGCTGATTCGAGCCCCAACACCAGCGTCAGGCTTGGGTGACAGCCAGCATGCTTTCTCCTGACACGAACCGTGGAAGGGAGGTGGCTGGGAGCCACGGGGCCTCACAGGGTAGGTCAAGGTCAGGAGGGAAAGGCTGCCCGGAAGCTGYTGGCCACCTGGGGAAGGTGGAGAGCTTGGTATTCAGAAAGTGGTTATTCAAAGGCAAGAAGTGGGTCCTCCATCGAGCAGTCAGGGAGCTGGGCCGGAGGCCTCCATGGGAAGGTGAAAAGGTGTGGATTTGGGACGAGTTGGTCTGATGGCGTCTGTGGGGTGCTGGGCATTGGGATGATCTGTGATGATCTTTACGGAGAAAGACTTAATTGAAATTGGAAAAACCAGACCTTCCCCATGGGGCTCTGAGGACTGCCAGATCCCAACCTGAAATGTACCTTGGCCTCCATTCACAGAGGAGACAAAGGCCTTTGGCCTGGGGCCTGTCCTTCTTCTTCAGCTGGATCTTTTTCTACCAGGGATAGAGCCCAGGGGCCATTTACCACTGAGCCACGTCCCCAGCCCTTTCTATTTTTGAGACAGGGTCTTGCTAAGTGGCTTAGGGCCTCACTAAGTTGCTGAGGCTGGTCTTGAACTCAGGATCCTCCTGCCTCGGCCTCCCGAGCTGCTGGGACGACAGGCGTGCGCCACTGCACCTGGCCAACCCTCTTTGAAGTGTTCGATCCATGGTGCTATTTGATTCCCCCAGGAAACTTGAAAAGAGGAGTCCAAGAGACGGGAGAGAGATGGAAGGCTCCAGGCGGCTCTGGGTGAGAGTCAAGGCAACAGTCTCTGTGTGTGTGTGTGTGTATATGTGTGTGTGTGTGTGTGTGTGTATGTGTGTGTGTGTGTGGGGGGGGGCTGTTTGCTCAGTCAACAAAGCACAGAGGAAGGAGGAAGGAGGGGCTGGGGGAGGTCCCCTTGGACCCAGAGCCCTGGTCTTCCAAGTGTCTCCCGTGCCCACTCGGGGAGGCCAGGCATCTGCRCACTCAGGGGAGGTTGCCCTGCCCCTGGGCTGTGCCAGCAGCAGTCCCAAGGCCTGAGGACATGTGGACAGGCCAGCAGGAGGAGTGCCCCCAGGGACCTTGAGGGGTCACCCAGGTCCTGGCTGGTCAGGCTGGTGGGGGGCCAGGGCGCGAGGCTGGGTTAAGATACGTGGTTTAGTTTTTTGCTATATTATCCTTGGGGGCAGGGAGAAGGGGAGGGCAGGGGAGGCCGGGGGACTTGAGGCAGGGAGGAGGCTACAGACAGGGAGTGTTATTTTTTGCTGAGGAGCAGGTCWATGAATTCCTGCTGGGGCTGCCCCGTCCCTCCCTCGGATGCTTCTGCCTGTGGTGTGCCCATCTCCAGGCACCGGGCGTCCTCTGGCCATCGCGGGGGTGTGGAGGAGCCGTGGGGACGCTGCCTGCTCTGCCTCCACCCCATGCTGCCCTCACACACAGACGGGACCCAGGCAAGGGTCCTCCTGGGCACGTGTTCAAGGCCAGGAGGGTCCACAGACAGTTCCAGACACAGGTGAACGGGAGGTTGTGAAGTGAACCACCTCTCTGTAAACACCTCCCCAGCCCCAGCCCTGCCACTTCATCCTTGGGACCAGAGAGGGGCTGCGTTCAGAGCCCGCGCAGCCCAGCACTGGGTGGGGGGCAGAGGTCTTGGGCAGCAGTGCCCAAGGTGAGGGGGTCCTAGAAGGCAGGGTCAGGGAGGGCAGGGGGAGGAGGAGGTAGGCACAGAGAAGAGAGACCGGGGTGCCAGGGGTGGCTGGGGGGGGACCCCGGAGTGGGGCGGGACGGGGAGGTGGGGCCAGGACCCTAATCGCTGGACACGTGGTTCTCGTTCTGAAGCTGGTGCCAGCGCTCGATCTTCTTGTCTTTGTTTTTCAGACACTCGTACCAGTGYTTCAGACGCTCTCCCTTGGCTGAGATCCCCAGCTGGCAGCCTCCTGGAGGACAGGGAGGGCCGAGGGGGGCAGGTGGTCAGGAAGCCCGAGTGTGAAGTTAGGGGGAAAACTGCCACTGACGCCCCCCACCCGCATCGAGCAGCCCGGAATCCATTCTCCGTGGAGGGCTGTGGATATGATGTCCTCACCCTCCTGGTCACTATTACCCTTGGCTCTCTGGGCCTCAAGAGCCTGCAATGGCTCCCTACTACCGCCCCGCTCCTGGCTGCACTACCTGTTTCTCTCTTTTGAAGACTTTCTACAGACTGTCACCCGGTGCTCAGACGGTGCCCTTYGCCTGGACGTCCCTCCCCGCTCTGTCTTTAATGACTTCTCTTCCTTGTCTTTTAGAAACCCTGACCCTGGACGGGCAAGCGGGCTGAGGGGSGTTCCCGGGCACCTGCTTCCTGCTGTGGGTTAATTAACCCTCTTCGCCCTGCAAGTCCCCAGGCTCTAAGGGCCCTTCCCTCTGGAGGYCATCCCCGATGGTGCCAGGGTCAGCATCCTGGGACCCAGAGACCAGGCGGGAGCTCAGCCCCGCAGCCCTGGGCGGGGCTCCGTTTCCTCGGGAGTTGGGAGCACTCACCGATGTAGTCGTTGGACTTCCCGATGTCGTAGTCCCAGACAGAGATGTCCAGCGACTTCTTGGCCAGGTCACTGTGTTTGATGTCGTAGAAAAACTCCTGAGGACAGCAGAKGAAGATGAGAGAGGTCCCCGAGCCTGCAGCAGCCACAGGGCTGAGCTCCAAGGTTCATGGGCAGCCCTGGGGCTGGGCCRCCTGGGGCCAGGATTCCTCCCACTCTGGTCCTCCCAGTAATCCCCCTTTAACCCACTCTCTGTACAACAAAGCCCTGTGATCCTCTTTCTAGTGAATTCTCGGTTCAAAACGGGAGCTTGCTGGGTTTCCTGGGCCTGCTCGGCCCCCGGAAGGCAGATGACCAGGAACTCAGGTGTCCCTGCTGGTAGCTTTAGGAGGGGGGGTCTTCCCCCTTCTTAGGGAGTAAGGCCGTTGGGGTGGACCAAGTGGTAGGTGTTTCTAAATAATCCCATTAAAAARTGACTCTTCTAACTAATTATAAAACTCATTCTTGTTCATTGTTAAAACATAATGGAGAAAAATAAATCCCCTGTAATCCAGCTGTCCAACAATAACGTAGGTCACGATTTGCCCAAGCTGCTCCACATTTTTAAAAAACGACCTGATATCGAGTACACAGTGTTGTAGCATCCTTTTTGTGCTTTATGACCTACGGTAAAATCCAGCTTAGCGTGTTTGCAGATATCTTAAACATATATTTCTACATCAGCGTTTTTTTTTTAATTCCCCCCTTTTCCCCTTTGAGTGTAAAAGAGTGGGATTTGTTCAAATGAGAAGAAAAGAGACCGAATTCCTGTAGGGGGAGAGGGGGACCCAATAGGGGTCTCCTGCACACCACCATTTTAATGGCCGTTTGGGTATACCATAAGCTAATCCCTAATAGTTGGGTATTTCTATKAGTTCCAATTTTTCACTATCATTAATGATCATTATTTACAATAATTTCCAGGGAGTTTCGATATTTAAAGATGGAGAACAATGGGTGTTCTGAGATGCTGGATGCCATTTGTGTAAGATGAGGAGGGCTGGTCACATGCAGATTGGCTTTGGAAATATTTAACTGAACGGCCTGATTCCCCAAATCAACGGAAGTGGAAATCCTTTGTAGTTTTGACGTGTCTACACAGGCGTCCTCCACAGCTGGCTGGGCGGCTTCTCACCAGCAGAGTGCCCATTCCCCCAGATGCTCACGGACCTTTTAAAGCATGTCGGCCGTGTGCTACGAGCTCTGCTGTTGGGTGGTATGGCTTTGCCTATTTCCTATGGTTCACTGGTACTTGGGTTCCTTGCTCTGTGGCTTGTTGGGATCCCAGGAGAGGGCGGAGCAGGAGGGGGACCTGGCTCCTTATTCGACACCCACAAGCCTCGGCTGGGACATGAGGTGACCTGCTGAAAGGGCCCTGGGGGGAAGGGCAGAGTGGAGGGGTCAGGATTCTCTGGGCCCTGTTCACACGGYCCCTTCCCCAAGTGGACGTATCGTAGAGTCCCTTCCTGCTTGACATAGAATAAACCCCCGTGTTAGCTGGTTCTGCCCCAACCTCAGATCTCAGGGGTCCAGAAGGGAGAAATGAATGGGCTGATGGGCACCAGGGCAGCGGCTCTGGGCATGGGGTGGCTGAGGGGGCGGCCGAGCATTCCTTCTGTCTGTGTCGCAGGTTTGAGGTGGAAACCGCACACAGAGGTYAGATCAGCGCTCAGCATCTCTTCCRCTGTCCTCTGTCCYGTCCCTCYTTAATGTAACGGATTCTCCTGGGGCCGAGTGCYCGCCAAGCTTGTCAGCAGGTGACTGAAACCCAGAGGGACCAGGTAGGTCGCAGGGAAGCACCAGACCTGGAAGCGCAGGGGACGCGCCCTSTGTAGGAGGCACCAGCGGTGCACGGGGACCTCCTTGGAATTCGTGTGACTGGAGGGGAGGGCGTGGAGGTGAGCCCAGCCAAGAGATTCCAGGATCCTGGTTGAGTTGGTTGAGCAAGGGCAGCGTGAACCCRCACACGCGTGTTTTACAGAGTTCACGCTTATTTGCAGGGGGAGGCGAGCACAGAGAAGGGAGTCAGGGGTCTACTGCAATCGTCCAGGCACGAGATTCCTGGGTCCGAACCAGGCGGCGAGAGGGAGAACAGAGAAGGAATTTGACGGGACCCAGACGGTGGCATCAGCAGAACTCGATGCCCTGGATGGATGTGGGGACGGGCAGCACCAACTGCAGTGGTTGGCCTCAGCCTCTGCAGTGTACCCCCCCGCCCCCCATCCCCCGTGGTATTCCTGATCTGTGGGCCTGGGCCTGAGCCTCGATTCCCGCCAGTGACAGGGAGCTCATTCCCACGCCTGTGGCTGCTCAAGCCGATCRAGGACAACAAGCTCTGTGGATGTGATCCCCGAAATCCCAGCAGGAGTCTGTTCCTCTCACCCACAGGAAGTGCCCCAGAGCACGACCCAGGACGGGGCAGCCTCACCTCGTTAAATTCAGGATTCAAGGTTTTCTTTTTAATCTGAGTCTTGTGTTTGGCCTTCTTCCCCATGTCTGGTTTCAGCCAGCTGTGAGGGGAYAGGAGCGGCTGTTACAGATGACATTTAATGACGGAAGCAGCCCTGTGATGGCCCCCCAGGCTCCTTCCAGCCATGGGATGAGAATGGAGGAGCAGGTCAGGAAATGAGCCACCCCTGGGGCCTGCAGGCTGCTGGGCAGGCGCCAGGCCCTACGCCAAGCCCCCCCCCCCCATGTCACCCTCACATGAGCCCTGGGCGATAGGAATATAACCACTTGTTGTGTTTCTACCGTCCAAGGTCCAGAGAGGTTGGGACATGCACCCTGGGTCAYACAGCCGACAATTATACCCAGCTGTTGTATCTGGAGCCTGTGTTCTTAGCTGCCACTTTCTCCCATTCAAATGGGGGCGTGTGGCTGATGGTACCTGGCACTTTCASCCCTTAGGCTGCTTCTCCCTGCAAGTCCTGGTGAGATGCTAGGTGTGTGGCGGGGCAGGGGTGGGGGGGCAGGGGGAGATGATTCTGACCTGATGATGTCATCCCACTGCTGTTCCCTTTGACCTGGGGGGAGAGTTTAAAGCCCTCAGTAGCCTTAAGACCCTGTGTGGCTGGGTCCCTGCTCTTTCCCAGCCTGATCCTGCTATGCTCTTTATTCCACTCTGTTCTTGCTCTCCTTTCCACCCCAGGGCCTTTGTACATACTGTTTTTTCTGTCTATAAGTCTTCCCTGGTTCAGGCACAAAGTTTGGCACATAGTAGATGCTCAGTCARTATGTTTGGGATGGACACTGCATACTTTAGGGACAGTGTTTGACAAAAGTCAAATGTTCATTATCAAAATGTGTAAATAACATTCGTTGCCAAGAAAGTGTTTTTTAAAAATCTATGCTAAAAACCTTTTTTTTAAAAAAACTTAGACATTTAAACAAAATGCTCTAAATTTTGCGGACGTCATTTGGATTCTCTCTGCCTGAGGCCGTCACTAGCTGAGCCACTTTGAACGTGAGTGTCAACTTACTGTGCCCCAGTTTCCTGACCTGTAAAGGGAGCACATTTCTGTCTCATTCACAGATTTAAAGATGGGTTTTAGAAGAGTCACAAATAAGGAACTGAGAGTCCCCAGAAGCTGAAAAAACTAAAGGGCCATTCYGGCTTAAACATCTTTATTTGATTGGAAACTGTGGGCTGGTTCGCTGGGGACCCTCTGGAAGGATCAGGCTGGGGGGGGACTGTTTGGGGGGAACCTCTGCCTGGGACTGAGACAGAATGGAGCCCAGGTCACTCCCTGTGGGGTGAGCTCCTTGTCCATCTTGGGCCTTATTCAAATCTCCCTGAGAAATCAAACGGAGCCCTGATGAGGGCTCCCGGTTGACAGAATCATCACTGGGAGAAATTCTGGAAGAAATTCCACAGCAGCCTGTTCTTCCCCCGGGGCTCAGGGGTCACTGGGGGACAGCGGAGGTGGGAGTGTCCCCCGGTCAGAGAGAGCATTCAGAAACAGTCTGCCGTCAGGAGAGTGATAACCACAACAGTGGTCTTTACTGAGCACCTACTATGTGCCAGACCTCACAAAAGTGCAGGTGATGAAATTGACTGACAGGAGGACAGGGCTTTGAATTGTGTTCTATCTCGTGAGTTTGCACGGACACGTGGTGGCTCATTCCTAGAGTGTGCAGGGCCTCCTGGAAGCTTTGCGTGGACCTGCACTGCAGCCGGAAATTCTTCCTGCCTAGATCTCCTTCTTGCCCTCTCCCCTCTGCAGGGATCAGACTTGTAATCGGGGTCTGTCTTCTCTAGGGACCTCCTCTGGATGCCTCCTGGATCCCTTCACAGACATTTCCCCCATGAATCTCCTGCATATCTCATTCTTTCTTGGAGAATCTGTACTAACGCACAGTGCTATTCTATTTTACAGAGGAAGACACTGAGGCTCAGAGAGGCTAAGCTACAAAACCCCAGGCCACACAGCCAGAGAATACTGGAGAATTGGAGCTGAGCGTCAAACCCAGGCAGTATGAACCCAGAGCCTACCCTCTTAATTATTCCACAAAGACACATTTTGCTGCCACAGGGTAAGGCAGGATTCCATGGAGGCGCTACACATGACTGTCCTTGGTGTAATTGTAATTRCTCTCTGTGGGTGGGCCTCTCTAATTCAGAATCTACAAGGATCCAAAGTCTGAAGCTTCTTGGGGGAGAATTTCACCCTCGACGTCATGTGATCGGCCTCAGTCAGAGAGCAGGTGCCCTACAGACAGTCCATAAATTCGCCTCMGACTCCGTGTGGGGGAAACCTCTGTTTGTAGTGTGTATTTGAAACATACATGAATTTTGGGTGCAGAACTGGCTGCCACACACAAGAAGTTCCGCTGAGTATGTGCAGATTTTCCCAAAGCCCCAAACATCTGGATTAACAAGATGTGACCCCTGTGATGGGGGCTTTTGTGGAATCACCTACAACCCATCTCAGGTCCTGGAGCATTTCTAGGATGAATCGGGGGAAAGCCGGGTGGCTGCTTTGGGGCTGGGGCTCTGGGCTGCAGGAGGGGGTGCGACTGACTCCTGGGGGCTGCGCATGGGGTCACTGCCACCACCCGCGACTCATTCTCCCAGGAGGGGGCAGAACTGCCAGCCTCGCAGGGAGACCCCGCCTCCCCCTGGCGCCCAATCTGGTGTCCAGTTCACTGTGGTCCCGCCCCTCCCGGGCCTCGGGGCGCGAGGGTCTCAGGGAAGCTCCCTGGCCCCGGGAGTCCCTTCGTGGTCCCCAGGCGCGGACTCACAGCTTAACGAACGGGTCCGAGTAGCCGTTGGCGTCCATGGCAGCCAGGTGCACGCAGCGCACGATGCCCACGATGAGGCCCCCCTGCTGTGTGCTGTACATCAGGGACACCAGGATCTTGCCGCGTTCCTCAATGTCGCCAATGCGCTCCACCTGCTGCTTGGGGCGGGGAGGCAGGGTAGGCTCGTGAGCGGGGGTGGGGGTGGGGGGGTGGTGTGTCCCCGAGCAGCGGGCCAGGGGCAGGGGCAGCACCACGGACCGCGGAGGGACCCACCCTGATGGGCGCTGAGGCACGTGGCCAATGGCCTACTTTGACCCTGCCCGGGACTGAGCCCTGACTCTGAGCAGAGGCTAAGCCTGACGCTGGCCCCTCACTGGCCTTGACCCTGACCCAGGGCTGAGCTTGACCCTTGACTCTGCTCTCACCCCTCCTTGACCCAGTGCACTCCCTGGGGTCCCAGGTAGGACCTGGTGGGAGATGGGCAGGGTCCGCCTGCTCCCGCCCACGGAGGGACCCGCTCCTGCTCTGGTCTTCCGTGAACTTGGGGGAACAAGGCCAGGGGCATTCCCGTGTGTGTGTGGGTGCTGCTCTGCCTCGAAGCCTGGATAACGCGAGCCAGCAGGACGCAGCAGGACAGGGCTGGGGAGGAAGGGCAGAAACAGGAGCAGGGCAACCAGCACAGCACCCCACCACCCTTGATGCTCACCTCCTCCTCGTAGAGCGCCATGCCGCGGGCCGACCCCGTGGTCCCTGCGCGCTTCATCTGAATGGAAGGAGACAACATTGTCTAAGGGGCTCGTCTCCTGGAACCCCTCAGGCAGACCAGGGTAATGCCCAGCCACTGGTGATGTAGGTTCTATGACAGTCCTCAATTTACAGATGAAGACACTGAGGGTCAGAGTGGGGTCTTCCTCCTGAGCTTCAGCTACAAAAATGTGGTCTGGCTCCCAGGGAGTCATCCCCAGGCTGGCAGTTGGGTGGAACAGGCTGCAGGACCCCACCTGGCCCCCTGGCTCCCCAAGTGGAGCTGGCTGCTTCCTTTGGGGGGGGGGAACTGGTGGCAGTGAGCTGTTGGCTCCACCCAGGGTCTCTGGAGAGCAGGATGCTGCCTCTTGAGAGCTCCGTCCATCCCGGACTCCGGGCCTRAGTTGCCAACTTGGTTTGCTGAGTTCCTGTTCTAGAATTCCCTGTAAGCTCTGGGGTGCTGCCTAATTCTGAAACCTCAGATTAATACTTGTTCTTTTTCTAAGGACAAGTGCCACCTCCAATGAGAACCATGATCCTACTCTGTATCACTGTCACCTATAATCCTTAAAAGACCCCGCCGTGAGGTGTGTAATACAGTGTCCCATTTAACAGGTGAGAAAACCAAGGGCCAGGGACATGGGGGCTGTGCCAAGCCCTGCCTCTCTGTATAGTGTCATATGGCTTTGGGACAGGCAGGAGGGTTAGGAGCAGTGTTCCTGTGACAAAAGCTTGTTACACAGTGGGCTCTGTTCTGGGCTTTATTTGTTTGCTTTAAACACAAGCATCTTATGTCACTGATASGATGTCCATTTCCTAGGCTCAGAATGGCTCAGTCCACCACAGAACAGGAAGTGGCAGCTGGACCTTGACCCTTGACCCCAGGGCACCTTGGGAGAAATGATGCTACCTGGGATCTGCCTGGCAGAGGGGACATGGCCTGATGCTACCTGCAGAGAGAGCCCCCTCCTCTTCATGGAGGCTGCAGCGTTTAGCCCCGTGGATGCCCTCTGGGTGCCTAGTGGGTCTGACCCCAGAGAAGATCCAAGAAGGTGGCAGGCACCCCCGCCTCTGGTCCCCCATTGAATCACCAGGCCAGGGAACTCACGGGGATCACCCGCTCCAGACAAATATTGAAATTCTTCCTCTGGTTGGGCTTCAGTTTCTTGAGCGAGAATCTGGTCTCCCCAATAAACTCATTGTGGCCGAATTTGTCCTCGTCACAGACGGAGATCCTGCCGTGGACATAAGGGGGTGAGGGGGGAGAGAGAAGCAAGCGCTGCGCTCCTACTGTGTGCCGGGCTTGTGGCTGATGGTGGTGAGGGACGTGGGGGTGTCTAGGGGCGAGGGTGTCCTCTGTGTAGACCCCTGCGCTGGGTGCTGTTTATCTCTTCCCGACTCAGGGTAACGTCCAAGCGGTCAAGTGCGCCTGGTCAGCGTGCACGGCCTGACCATGTGAGCCCTGCCCACACGGCTCAGCTCAGGATAGGGGAGGTTCCAGGGTCGGCAGCCTCTGGGACTCCCTGCCTCCCGGGTCACCCCTCTCTTGGCCTCTGGCTGCATGGGAGCCACTGTCCTGCATTTTATTTTCAGATAAATAGAGTTGGAGAGTGCGGGCGCCTTCCCACAGGGCTTCCTTTGCTCAGCACCATAACTGGGAGACTCAGCTGTGCACCTTCGGCCTCTGAGTCCACCAGTTCTGCACCCGTGGGTCAGTCCCACCAGGGGAGGGGAAACATTTGAAAATGTTTTCAGTCTGCAGTGAATGTGCCTAGGCGTCTTTCTTGTCGTTATGCCCTGACGGGACACTGGGACCGACCACTATTTACACGACATCCACATGGTGTTAGGTGATAAGTCACCTAGGGGTGACCTGGGATGCTCTGCCGCTTCAGACACAGGCCCCCCGCCTCTGCGGACCAGTGTCCACCCAGCCCTGGGACCACTCCCTGTGGACACGGCTAGAACTCAATGTTGTTTTGGTAAATGGAATAAAGAAAGAAAGATGCAGAGGATTTGTAAAAGGGGGACCCCCAGGAGCTGCACCCCAAGGCCTAGTTCTGCCCGGCCTTGGCCCCCTCTCGCCTCCGCCCGCCCTGGGGTACCTGAGGGTCTTCCTCTGCATGTCCTCGTCCGTGATGCCGTGGTACACCAGGGTCTCGTTCCAGACAGGATTCCGGGTGTTCCGCAGGGTCTTTGTCCGTAGCTTGTTGGACTAGAGCCCCAGAGAGATGGACAGACGGATGCCCGCCTCAGTGGGAGTGGCCCTGGAGACCCATCCCGTGAGCTTTTTTTTGGGTGGGCAGTGGCTTTTCCCAAAGGAGCGTCCCAGGGCTTAGTGTTCCCAAATGCATGCTCTGAGCATGTGGCGTGTCCTCTAGACGGTGGCCACAGACACATGGGTTAAGGTTCTGCACGGCTCCCTCCTGGAGCCTTCCCTTAAGGGAAGGAAGAAGAGACGTCGTCCTTTAAGATGTCCCTGGCACCCGTCCTTTGAGAAGCCAGAACATCTTTACAAGTCAGGGAGGTAGAAATGAGTCTCCTGTCCCCAGGCAGGGGACACTGGGACCATTCCCTCCATTGCCCCCAATAGTATCCTTCCTGCCTGAAATGCCTTAGAGGAGACAGAATATGAAACTTTGTTCCAAGAGAGAAGAAACGTCACTGTATCAGAAGAGGAGAACTGGTGACGAATCTAATTCACGCTGACATGCAAGTGGCTCCTATTGGATCTTCTGCCAAGGAAGGTTTGGAGTTGACAAAAAAGTGTGTCTTCAATGGCGGTGGAATGAGTTAGACATTGTCACCCGAAGTACATGTGGGAAGTCACGAACGGTGTGAGAATACTTTGTGACCCATCAGTGACTTGAAAAATTGTGCTCTATCTGTGTGATATGAAGTGAACTGCCTTCTGCCCTCRTGGATAACACATTAGAATAAATAAATATGTAAAAATGTGTCTTCATGGGAAGCAAAGGCTGCTGGGAGTGGGTGGAGTTTACGAGCTGGCCACAGCCAGGAGAGGGACTGTCTTTGATCCAAATAAAGGAAGAGCCGGACGTGGTGGCGCACACCTGTCATCCCAGCAGCTCGGGAGGCTGAGGCTGGAGGATCGCGAGTTCAAAGCCAGCCTCAGCAAAAAGGGAGGAGCTAAGCAACTCAGTGAGACCCTGTCTCTCAATAAAATACAAAATAGGGCTGGGGATGGGGCTCAGTGGTTGAGTGCCCCTGAGTTCAATCCCCAGTACCCTGCACCCCCCACAAAAAGCAAACAACAAACAAATAGACAAACAAAAACAACAAAGGAAGAATGAGCCAAAGTGCGTGTGTGCGTGTGTGTGTGCATGTGCGCCCATGTCCTCTTTTGTCTTAGGGGGCACCTGAAACTTGCAGAGGTATTTAACAGGCGGGGCCCCCACCCCTCAGGCACAGAATGCTGTCTGAAGGGCTTAGCACTAAAATCTGGAGAAAGTCACTCGTTTCTGTCCAGAGACAAGCCTTGGTCATTTTGAGATGGAGGGATGAGCAGACCCCGCTCCTGCCCCCCACTTTACCTCTCACGGCTTTGCACTCATGGGGCAGGGYCTAGATTGGGGGCAGATAGGGCTATTTTAGGCTCTGAGCTGAGAGCCCTGTGGCTGCCAAGGCCCAGGCTCCAGCCTGCAGAAATGCCCAGGCCAGATGGTACCTTGCTGGCTCCCGGCAGGAGGTGCAGCTTCACATAGGGATCGGCCAGGCCATTGGAATCCATGGGCTTCAGTCCCTGCAAGAGACGGAGGCAACGGAGGTGAGGACCTGGGGAGGGCTGGGGTCCAGGCGTCCTGGGCAAGGGGCGTGTCCCCTGGCATCTGCCCCTCCTGTCCATCTACCCTGTGTGTTCATCTTCCAAAGAGAAAAAAGGGGAACATGGTGTCATGGGAAGAGCACGGGTATCAGGCAGACAGGGCTCCAAGGCATGTCGCTCCCTAGCTGTGTGACCTTAGGCAAGTTTCGTAACCTTTCTGGGCCTTAGTTTCCTCACCTGACAATCTCACCACTTGTTTTCAAGGAATGGGGAGACTTAAATGCAGTCCCACCTGTAAAGTGCCTGCTCCCCACCGCTTGGAAGCCTACATTAGTGCCTTTGTAGCTGTGGCCACAGGCCCCCTGCTCTGGCTGAGGCTCTAGCTGGTCATAGGAACCAGGCCCAGGAGGACACAGTGCTATTCTGCCTTGTCAGCTGTCAGGCCGAACTTCGAGCTGGCATGACTTCCCAGGTGGTACCTCCATGCCACCCCACCCAGTTGCTGAGCAGCCCTGGGCAGATCCTGGCTCTGCCCCCTAGAGGCAGCCAGAGGTAAATGCACCCCCTGGGGGACAATCCCAGGGGAAGTCCCCCCCCCCCAGGAATCTGCTGTGGCTAATGACTGTGCTGCCCTTATCACTGTTACTGTCCCAGGTAGGTGACAACAGACAGGCCTGGCAACCCATCCCCACCTGAGTCTCCTAAAAACACCAGAGCATCCCGGGGTCTCCCAGGCCCCTCACCCACCTTAGCCTTCACGATGGTGCACTGCAGAGAGCTGTTGTCCTGGTCATAGAGCAGGCTGAATTCCAGGGCACCCAGGGTGGCTGAAAGGACAGAGACAGGAGCTGGGAGGACACTTGTGTATTCATTCAACAAACATCTCCCAAACACTTTCTATGTGCCCGGGTGGGACTGGCCATGGAGACGACAGGGGGAGGAGGACATCGGCCCTGCTCTGGTCGCTCCCTCTGGCTGACCCTCCTCTTCACAGCCTCCTGTGGTCAGTTAATTATTTGTGCACTAGTTTAGTTAATGACTCCCCATCCTGCTGGATCGAGAGCCCCAGGAGGGCAAGGGTGGGCACTGTCTTGCTGACAGCTGGGTCCCTACTATGCATGGTGAAGGACACACAGTAGGCCTCTCTTACTGGATGAAGGAACGAATGAGTTTGAGCCTTTGCCCTTCCCTTTGACTGGAATGCTCCCCCTCCATATCCTCACATGGCTCACACTGTCTCACAGAGAGGCCCCCCTGACCCCTCTGTGTGCCGCGGCCACCCTGGCCATCACGCCATGTCTTATCCCCTGCTCTGTCTCCATTTGCAATGAGCTCGAGTTGTTAACAATCTCTCTACACTAGAGTGTTGGCTCTGGCGGGTCTGCCAGGCGTCGTCCCCAGTTCTCCAGCAGTTTGAGGCACRTGGCACGGGCTCATTGAATACTTGTCAAACATAAAGACATGTCGAGTGAGCGGGGAGTGCCGGGTTGGGTCTGAGGACAGGTTTGTCACCAGCCACATGGAGAGGCTTATGGAGAGGTCAGACAAGAGGCTGGGAGGGTTCCCCTATTGCTGGAGGGCTGGGGGACGTTCAGGGGGGCAGAGGTCCCGTCCAGGACAAGGAGCAGGACAGGGCAAGGCAGGGAGATGGCTTCTACCCGCCCAGAGAGGAAACAGCCTGTGGCCAGCAAGGACAAGCTCGTGTAGGAGGCGAGCTGGCCGCTGCGTGGGTCAGCTCCAGAAGGGCTCTTGGAGCACCCATGGGACCCAGATGCTGCTAACCCTGCCTCCCCAGCTCTCCCGGCTGCACCCAGGAGAAGACTGTGCCCCCACGCGTCCCTGGGCCTCGGGGTCTGGGAGGGGCCAGATGCACAGAAGCCGGGGAGGTGAAATGCTGGTTAGAAATCATGCCAGAGGACATCGTCAGGGAGTTTTTCCAACTGTAGACAGGCACACCCAGGACGGGGCTCGCCGGCCYGTGACAGCTCTGTCTGACTGAGGGACGTTCAGATGGAACTGAGGGATGTTCAGACGGAACGTGAAGGACACGCACACGGCTCCTGCCTTGCTGTCTTAAAATGACCACGGTAACTTTGATGTCTGTGTGTTTTACCAGAAAACTGGGCACTTATCTTTAGGAAGCTGATCTCATCTGGGGAACTTGGAAACACAGATTTGTATTTTTCTAACTCATATGTACGAGGGGCTGGGTGGATGGGTGGACCCAGGGCGGGCCCTGTCCTCCTGGGGTCAGCTCCTGGGGTGGCTTCTCCTAGACACTGMTTCTCAGGTGCCACCTACTTGCTTCATCAGAATCGTAGCTGTTGGCGTCCTCCTCCTCCTCTGGGGGTGGCTGGCGGGTGGGGGCGGGGGCAGGCTGGGGCGCAGCTGCGGCTGCTTGGGAATAAGGGCCCCCTACTCCCCCTGTTCTCTCTTCCCGGGCTGGGGCCGTGGTTCCCGTATAGCCAGGGTCGCTGGGAGCCACTTCTGTAGGGACATGAGAGAGGACACATGAATCCCTGTTTCATACCAACAGTATTTAAGGAAGCTTAAGGGGCCTGCAGGTTCCCAGGGCCATCCGTGGGCCGTGCATTGGGGCCTGGGAACCTGTGTTGGACAGCAAACCCCTGGAGTCGATCCACACATGGGCAAAACAGATCTCTCAGGGTGCTGAGCAGTGGTGTGGACCCCAGACAGACAGCTTGGGTTTGTATTGTGGTTGTGTGACCTCAGGCGAGTTACTTAATGTCTCTGAGCCTCAGTTTTCTCATCTGTAGAATGGAAATCATACCTGAGGGTAATGTAATAGTAGTGGGTATTATTTTACACAATGCCCTAATTGCACAGCACTAAAACAGTACCTGGCACATTAGAAAGCAATGGCTGTGTCGTGGCCGTGAGGGTTGATGATGGATGGCCAGCTATCTATCCTACACAGTGATCACTGCTGCTTAGTGGGGGCTTAACACACACTGGGCTCCTGCTAAAGTTTTTTTATTTATTAGTTTGCTTCACCCTCCTAACAACCCTGCTAAGAGAGAAGAAAACTGAGGTTCAGGGAAGTTCAGTGACTTGTCCTAGGTCACACAGTGAGAAAGTGAGGGAACAGGGATTTGAGACCTGGCCACCTGTGCTCTGAACCCCATTCTGTGTTGGCATTGCCTGTCTATCGAATCAGCATGGATGAGTTGGAGGGTTAGAATCAGGGGCTGCTTGGACCCCATCAGATAGTCTCAGAACGCAGGCTGAGCCCATGGTGGGTACCGATTTCACCAGGGCAATAAGCGGAGGTGGCCAGGTGGGTGGTGGGGGAGAGGGGGGCACTTGGGAGGGAGCAAACACTTGCCTGGTCTCTGCTCTGGAAAGCGCCCTGCTGGCCCTGGCGCGGGTCTGCTGCCCCCTGGGGGCCCTGAGGGGGAAGGAGAGAAGGGGTGTAGCAGAGGGGCCATGTCATTTAGGCCCCCCTCCTCC